TTTTTTTTTTGAAGTCGCTTTATAATTTATAAATCTTTTATAAATTGAACCAACTAAAAAAAGTAATTTAAAATTAATTAATTCATTGAAAAACCGGCAAATCCGATTGGTCCATAAAAAATAAAAAAACGCGTAAAAAAAAAAAAACATATATACGATCTTATGGGTTTGGGTAATCAAAAAACCGTTTCTAAAAAATATTATATATATATATTATATATTATATATATATTTGAGAATTTGTTTATGTAATAATATTTTTAAGATCCATTTTTGAACCATTATTATAACCATAAATAGATTGTAAACGGAAATTTTTTTCTAAAATATCTTTCACATCCGAAATAAAAGAGTCGAATTAAAATTTTTTTTTTAAAAAAAAAAAGTATAGAAAGAAAAAATAAAAGAAAAAAAAAAAAAATGCAGGATTATATATTATCTAATCAATTAGTTAATCCGAAATATAATATATATATATGTATTTTGACGATCGTCATTAAATTAAAGAAACCATCAAAAAAGACCCTTAACAGTTTCAAAATGAAAAACAAATTGAGTAATACTAAAATTAGAAATGAAAATCTCCATGAGAATGATAAAAATAAGAAATTTTTTATGGTTAAATTAAAAGTTAATTGGTAGATATATATTACGTTATACTGATGATGTTATACTATCTTATGATTTTACATTATACTGATCAAAGATCGTGAAATTCAAATTATTTAAATTATTTTACAATAATTTAAAATTTTTTATATTAATTAAATTTGTAATAGTGTATGTGAATCCCCCTTGATTGATTTTAACCGGGGTTTCCTCGTGTCATTCATGATAACAAATAACATTTCCAGAAATACAACTTAAAAAAAAGTACTCCTAGAAAACACGTCTCATTTTCGATGGATTTACGAATTTCCCCTTGATGATACTTACCAGTTTTCGCTCTTACTCAACCCATGAGGATAATAAAAATTACACGAAATTTTAAATTTGATCTCAATCTTCATACTTTTATGTACCTCACTAAAAAAAAGGATAAGATTTACGCTAAGAAAAATTGTTTAACTGGTGCGCACTTATGATCTGCTTCTTTCTTAAAAACAAAGTGGTACATCACTAATTGATTAATTATCTTTCTAACGCTAATTCCACAGAAGCTCATATTACGTAAGTGAGTTGCCAAAGTATCGGATATTACTGAGGAAAGTGTAGTGTCAAATTAGAAATGCAATGTCGTTATATTAACACAACATAAATAGCCGACCAAATGAAAATATTTTCATTACATGCAAAAATTTTTATATTACATCATTTGAATTATTTTATTATGTCAAAAGGAAAGCAAAAAGGTGTTTAGAAGATAAAGATGCAAGTTTAAAACTACAATTAAACTTTTTTTATTTATTCAAAATGAAATTTAAAAAAATAAATTTATATGTCATAATTAATTAATGTATAAAAACTGCCAAACAATGTCTAATAAAAAGCATGCATTTTATGCAGTTTATTTGATGAAAAATTTGATGGCTATGACAAATCTGTTGATTATTAATCTTTTTATATTTCCAAACATATTTCCAAACATTTTCTTGCACCGGACTATATTTAAAAATATGTATTATATTATATAATGTGTTGCTTCTATTTTACAACTAAACTTTATATATATATAATGTGTTACTTCTACTTTACAACTAAACGTTATATATATATAATGTGTTACTTCTACTTCACACGGTAAATCGATTGATTATTCGAATTATAGAAAAAAAAAATTAAGTTTGAGATTCTAAATTCGATTCTTGGACCGTTATAATTAATACATACTATATAAAAAAAATAAGGTTTTTTTTTTTTATTAAACGAAAATCAAAACGAATCAAAATAAATTATTAACTTTCAAACTTTCAATAATTTAAAAAAAAAAAAAAAATTAATTAAAAATAAAAAAATTAATTTTTAATAAAAACCTTATCAATAATAATTAATCGATCTCTAATTGATTAAGGTAATGCCGATGTTATGTTCGGGTTATTTTCTCACGCATGTCATTGCATATTTCATTATATCATGCATATCATGGCTGAATAATTTATATCTATGTTGTACGAAAAAAAAAAAAAATTTCGACAGAGGGCATCAAAAAAAGTTCTCAAAGTCTGTAGTTAAATTGTAAGTTCATCTTGAAGGTAAAACGATTGCTATATGGTTGAGAGACGATATATCTCGGGCTGAAGAAAAACATCAAGAACCAACTTGAAGAGCTAAAAATGTTGGTGAACAAAATAATCTTTATTCTTCTCCCTCTTTGACTTTCAACCTCATAGCTGATTCGTCGTTTGGTACCTTCTATTAAATGTAATAGTATAGAAAGTATTTCTCATCTCAAACTTCAAAGAAAGTGAATTAAATGCAGTATTATTCATCATTTGAAAAATGACGTTGAAGATTACTTCAATGATACTCCAATGATACTTCAATGATACTTCAATGATTTGCTAGATGCATTTTTCTATATTAACGAATGTATAATTTTAAAGGATTAGTATAGATTTGATGGGTGTAGTAATACTTGTAAATTAGAACCAATAGACTTCTTAAAAGTAGAATGTGATTCACCACCAATACCATCACCAATTCTTAAAAAGTGTCGGGATGATAATTTTAAAGAGATTTTGAATGCAACATATTAGTAAATCAAATAAATCTGTGTATAACAGACAAAGATCTTATAATATTGGATATTCCGGGATATATTACAAATGATATATAAATGATATATCAAAGATTTAACATCAAGGAATTTTTAGATGTGAAATTATAGAGCTTCCCGATTGAAGAGTTGTTCCGCCAAGGTGCTGTCAAAGTTTGGACCTCGAGAATTCAAATAAATCAGATTCCCTCACAAAAAAATGGGTAGTGATTAAGTTTCGTCGAGGAACTTCAAAAAAGATGTGAAGAGGACAATAATATCCTCGTGTTATCGGACGGTATTCTAGTTAATGAAAGGATGGCTCGTGCAGTTTTCAAAGATCAATTATCTTACAACGACATCACGATCAATTTACCAATATTGAAATTATTGGCCCCATCAAAACAATCAAGAGCGAAAAAAACTCCAAGTCCCCAAAATCTGTTCAAGTATTTTGGATACAACTTTCTGGAAAAACACAAGATAATATAATATATTCTTATATATAAACTCAATGAAAAAAGAAAAAACGATATAAAGTTTCTTCCAAAAAGAGATAGAAAAGATAATCCAAAATATTCATCAATAAATTATCAGGTAAAGAATTTTAAAAAGTTTTTATATAATCATTTTTATACTTTAATAATAAATTTTTAAAATGTTTCTTATATTAGATATATCCATGAAACTTCATCACAATTACGAAAAATTTATTCGTTAAACCAAGTTTAGGTAAAATATTGGGATTTTTTTTTTTGAGTCTTTTTTTTTCGCAAAAATTCAGAAGAAAAACTTAATTTTTTTTTTTAAAAAAAAAAAGATCCCACAACAACAACAACTAATTGATCCCTACTGCTTTTCTGTATAATTACCAAATTATAATTATCAAACAGCACTACTTATTTATATAATATTTACATATAATTAAAACTAACTAAATTCTTTATTTAAATAGATTGTAAGTTATAAGTTATTTATTTAATTCTATTATTACTTATTATATTTTATATAATATTTACATATAATTTAAACTAACTAAATTTTTTACTTAAAAAATTATTTAATAATATAGGGTGTGGGTTATTTATTTAATTCTATTATTACTTATCAGCCATCGTAACTATAATCCTGCAATATCCCATTATTACATCTTCAACTGTTGGTAATAAATTTTATAATCCATCATATGAATTATCAGGTTCAGTTAACCCTGACACAATTATGATAACTAATTCAATTATAATAATTCTGGATGAATGATTAAACAAACGAGCAACTCAGATCATGAAAAGAAAATTTTTGAGAATAAAATTCACGTATTGAGCAGACGTTAAGTACTATTTCAAGTTCATGAACTATGGATCAAAGTAAACCTTTTATTAATAGATTAACAAAAGAGACATTTAAAATTGAATGGTGAATAACACATTATTTTGGACTTTAACTCACCCCTAAATATAGATATTCTCGCCTCTAGTAGATAGTTTACCTTGTTGTTTTGAAATTAATGATTTAGGGCTTTGTAGACACATAAGTAATATCATAATTGACGATGATGTCAATACCAAATACATTGAATCAATTAAATAATATAATATATATATATATAAGAGATAATTCTATTTTACTTCAAAATACAATTGAAGAAACTAATCTGCAAAAATGTAGACGATAGAGATATAAAATGAAAAATAATAACATCGATAGAAAATTTTCAAGAAATTCAATAAAAGAAGTGATGGAAATGGCAGTAATGAAAGCAATCATGTATTTATGGAGTAAGCTTTTAAATAATATTTAATATATTTAATTAATATATTTAATTAATATATTTAATAGATAATGTTTCATTTTCTTGACATTCTACTGTCCTCCAACAGCAATTTTTTTAATAATTCACCACTATTGTATATTATCCTTTGCTTTCTCTAAATTTTCTCTAAAATTCTTATATTCCTTCCATTCTTCCAATAACATAATTAATAGTGTATATTTAATTATATCGTTACTGATTTCATTATTTGTTCTCTATAACCACCTAATAATCGTATAACCAAATCAATTAGAAGTTATTTCAATATGACGTCCCCGGTCTGTTTCAAATAGAAAATTTGCTCAATTTCAAAACACCTATTTACAAATATAAACACTTATTATTACTCTTATTTAAACATCACCACATAATCTTGCTATTCCCTTTTACTTTACTTTTACTTTAATGAGTTTAATGAGTTTAATCCACTTAGTCCCTTATCCTTATCCTTACTTTAATCCTAATCCCCTTACTGGCACTTCATATAATATGGTCCAAAATATCATTGATTGGGCTTTATCGCATATAGAGAGATTATTTATAGCGGGGAGGGATACTTGGATGGTATATTGATAACAATCAGCTAATTGCCGAATATGATATAAATATTCAATTTTGATTAAAAATTAATTGGTTTAGCATTTATAATAATACAAAAAAAAATGTATATTTTATTCACGCAAATAACTCATAATACAACTCACAATACTCAGTAAGTACGTAAAAATTTGTTTAGCATTTCTGAAAATGTTATAATAATACAAAAAAAAAAATGTATACTTTATTCACGAAAATATCTCATAATACAATTCATAATACAATTCATAATACTCAATTTACTTTATTATTCACATTTATTCATAAATTACAAAAAAAAAAAAAATAATCTATTTATAAAGTATATACTTTTATAATACAACCAAATATGAATTTTTTTCTGTAATTAGAGCGAAGATTCTTCGCGCAGTGTAATATTTTTTTCATACACTAATTAATTAAATGTGTCGACATACAATTCAGCGGTTAATCATGTGAAAAAGAGAGAACCATGAATAAATACAATAATATTTCGAAGTCAAGCACATAACAGATAAAGTCCCAACGAAATAAAGTCAATTGAATGAAGAATCTATTTAAATAACACGAGAAACAATCAAGAAAAAAAATTATAAATCAGGTTGAACAACATACTGGAATATTTATCAATTTTGAGAAATTCCGACCATTGATAAAGAGGAATCATGTTCCAGTAGAGGTTATCAGGATATTTAAGTTAAAATCTATAAAATCACATTAATTAACACATCATTTCACTATCGAAACTATCGAATTCATTCGTGAATGTCTTCAAAGAAACTTTTTAATTCATGGTAATTCTAACGAGAAAAGAATATCGGAAACTAGTAAGTATTTGAAAAAAAAACAAGGCCGAGAAAATGAAACATTACTTACTGTTCGCGATTTCATTCTCGAAAATTTTTGAACCGAGACTATGCTACAAATTTTTTAATATAAATTTAATATATTAACGTTCAGTTTACCTTCAAAAGGAACATATATGGTCGCATTTTATAATGAAGTTTGAGAACTTGGATATTTGTTTAAAGAACTTGAACGTTTCTTTTTGTGCAACCGCGGATATTATATCGAATCCGAGAAGCAAAAGTATCGACCTTGATAGGTCAAGGGATCGTTCTTTGATATACCAATAATAAAAAATAAATATATGTCTATCAAGAAACATATCGCAACTTCACCAATTACATATCATTGGTTAATTGGTAAATATCAAATTAAACACACGTAGAGATTATAACGATTATTCTTTCATGCTGATCAGTCTAATTCCTTGCTGCTAATTGAGTAGGATTAACTGAATCTCCTGGTGAAGAATGATCTTTCATTACTGGTCATTATACTGATCAGTCTGATTCCTTGCTGCTAATTGAGTAGGATTAACTGAATTTCCTGGTGAAGGATCTTTCATTACTGGTCATTATACTGATCAGTCTAATTCCTTGCTGCTAGTTGTAGGATTAACTGAATCTCCTGGTGAAGGTACACCATAAATATATTTAAAATTTTTTTATAATGAAAATAAAAGGGATTTATAATTTTTTTTTAAAAAAAAATTTTCGTACTTACTATTATTTATACTGTATATAATTTATCATTTATGTATATCTCACTACTAGAATTGGTGAATGATTTAGTATAAGTAATTTGTACAATTCGATAGTTGGTTCAATAAAAGGGTGTGTGCCGACTTTCATTATGCCACATGGACTTGAATGCCCATTTAGAATCGCCATCAAGAGATTTTGCGCACATAATTTTTATATTATGAATAGGGGTTGTCTGGCTTCGCTTTAAGCTGACGCTACCCTTATTTTAAGATTTATAAGCGGGGCTAAAAGATGGGAGATGTGGAGGAAATCTAAGTAATCTTTTTAGGATATTCAAAGTAATAATAAGATTATTTAATTACTATTGATCTTACCTATTGACATTCTCATTTTGTTTTTTTTAAAACAAGAAATTAAGGCATGGGAATGATGGGATCATTGAACTGATATGTTTCGAACGGTTTCGAACGAATTCAAATCTACGTCACCACATTCTGATTGCTTCAAAAAAAATTTTAAATTTAAATTTTATTTTGGCTGAAAAAAAATAAACAAATAAGTTAGTAATGCATCTCTAATTTGCATTTGAGATGAAAATTGTTAATTGTCAAGTCGATCACACGTAAAAATTAAAAAAATGGGGAAAAAAACTGTATTATTAAATGATCTGCACTAATGAACTCACGCCAACCAAACCGATAATGTCAAATTTGTCAATTTGTATTATAATTATTATAATTACAAAAAAAGAATTATCTTAACAGAATTTTATTCGATGAGAAAAAAAAAGAAATAAATAAATAGACAATTCAATCAATTGAAATAGATTTTTTTTTCTATATATATACACTGTTTATAAAAATAAACTATTTGTATATATTATTTGATTTATATTTAACACTGTAATTACATCACAATCTTTCGGAAAAGGCTCAAAAATTTCATTCAATTCTCGTTTTTTCCATTTGTAATTTAATAACGTCATAATAAAAAATATTTATATTATTTTTCCTTGTTTCAAATATTGTATATTACAAGATGATATTCAAAAAACATTTGTTAACAAAGAAAGGATCTTACATGATTTCACGTGACATGTAAATAATCGGCATAATAGTTTCAAAAAGAAAGATCAATCGTGATATAAATATTTATTNCATAAATTGCCATACACTAATGCCCGAGGGAAGACGATCATTTTATTTGAAGGACTTTTTAAAAAAGGAAAAGTATTAAATGATCGGAATATACATATATAGATTTTTCAACAAAAAAGTTATGATTTTTGTTAGGATTATTGATTAACGACTTTATAATTCAGTTGGTTAATTAATAAATAGGAAAAGAAAAAGGAAAAAAAGAAAAAAGAAAGTTATTCCATAAATCGGCTTTGTAAAGTAACAATATATTTTACCTTTATGATGAATTTTTTTTAAAAAAAAGTGGATATACGTTCATGTTCCTTTTTTTATACTTCAATGTCGTCATAGAATTAGACAGTTTTTAAATATAAAATGGTAATAAAATCCCGTCGGATTTTTTTTCTTTATTAATTTTTCGGTTTTACCGTCCACTCTCTCTCTCATACAAAAAATTCCTTAAGCTTTAAAGTAACGATCTTGAATATCTCAAAAAAAAAAAGAAATAATAATTCCTATCTTTTAAAAAGTAAACATCTTAAAATATATACGCCTCTTAAATAAACTACACTTTTTTTTCCCCGTACTAAAACGCAAGCTGCATATATACATTTGATACTATGACTTCAAATGAAATCTTGGAAATCGCACAAAACTTGAATAGTTTAAAACCATTAAAAAAAGAACAGATTTTGTTGAACTCAACTAAAGAAAATCCAAAGATTTTTTCAAAAATCAATGATCTTATAAATGAATACAACGACATCACGATCAATTTACCAATAATGAAATTATTAGCCCCGTCAAAATTATCAAGAGCGAAAAAAACTCCGAGACCTCAAAATCTATTCATATTATATCGTAGAAATCTTTCAAAAGGATTATGTAAAATTAATCCAAAATCCGTAGGTAAATCTTCTCAAGTAGCCTCGTTATTATGGAAATCAATATCAGAACGCGAAAGGGAATTTTGGAGACAACTTTCTATAATAGCAAAGGAAAAACATAACACAATATATTCTGATTATAAATATGAACCCAATAAAAAGAAAAAACGAAACCGGTATAAAGTTTCTTCTAAAAAAATAAATAGAAAAGATAACCCCCAAATATTCATTAATACATTACCAGGTAAAAGAATTTTTAAAAAGTTTTTATATAATCGTTTTTATACTTTTATAAAAAATTTTTTTAAAATGTTTCGCATATCAGATCTATCCCCATATGTAAATGAACCTTCAACTACAATCTTGAAAAATGAACAAATTCATTCGTTGACCCAAAATTTAGGTAAAATATTAAAACTTTTTTTGACTTCTTTTTTTTGCAAAATTCAGAATGAACTTATTCTTAATTTTCTTTTAAAAGCTCAAAACATGTTACCATCTGTACCTTCACAACAACAACATCCACAATATCCACAACATCCATATCCACAACCATATCCACAACTACAACAACAACAACCAATCGATCCCTGCTACGTTCCCATAGAATTGCCACACTATTATTATCAACCAGCACTAACCGTCATACCTACAATTCCTACAATATCCCATCCTCAGTTTGTCATTACATCTCCAACTGTTGGAAATGAATTATACAATACGTCATATGATTTATCAAGTTCAGTTAACCCTGACCCGTTATTATTAAATCTACTCAATTATGATGACTCATTCAATTATAATTATTATTATTATTATTCCTAAATAAATATAGATCAATTTTTCGCATATTATATTATGTATATTGTATATACTGTACATTACGTTACATATACAGTACATTTATGTTTATTACTTCAATAATTAGTTTTATTTGTATAAATTTAGAAATAGAATTATTAGTTATAAGCATTAAACTCTAGAACTAAAATCTTTCTTATTAATTTCATTTATAGTTTAAAATTAAATATAACCTAATAATTTACTCTATACAGCTCAATTATATCTTCTTCAATCAGCAAATAACCCAGCAGAACTCCTATCTTTAATTCCACGTACAGCAGCAATCCAAATTAAAATAATTACAAGAGCTACTGTATAACCAATTAAATAAGATTGTAATACCAATCTTCTTCCTTTAGTAAACAAATTTTTAAATCTATACAAGTAAAGTGCAAGAAAACTTCCAACTAGTAATACATAAATTAATATTACTAAAGGTCCACTGGGAAATTCAATTGCAACTAGCCCATGTAATAACCCAAATAATACTCCCCCTGCTATCCACCATAGTGTTCCTTTTAATGAATCTATTCCATCATGTCTTTGTCTACGATATGCGAAAATTTGTGCCCAAGTTATTATTACAAATCCTACCGCGTATATATAATGTCCAGCCTATAAAAAGTTAATTTCACTATTAGTGTACCCAATATTTTATTTTTTTTTCCTGAAAAATAAAAAGAAAATAGTATTTACAGTATGTTCAAGATCATGTCGAAAATAATAAAGGACGTCATTAATTACAGGATATTGTTGTACAATTTCCGGATGTGCTGAGATAACATCTTTGATCGAGTGTTTGGCTATAATTGCTGTCGAATGCATTCCGGCACCTTTTGATGATTGATTATTATAAAATTATTACGCGGTTTGACCGATCAATCAAAAAATTTTGTCCTACCTTGTGCATAAAGTGCTGCGCCTATCAAGAACCATATATTTAGAAATTCACGTTCGGTTAAACCAGATACTAGAAAAAGTTCATCAACAAAATAAATATTTTTTGCTTTAAAAACAATAACAATAAAATTATTGAATTAAAATAATAATTATAATAATTACTAAAATTTCGACCCTCTTGTGTTTGATCATTAAACACTTCGGATGTCGTCATAATAATATATTGCAACGGAAGTGAAATTATAGGTTCCGAGAACCCTATTGATATATAAATATATATAAATAAACATGAATATAAATTTTTTTAATGGAATGACTAAAATAATCATAATTTTTTAAAATCTTCGCTTACGATATATGTCTGCAGCAACACCATGAAAGTCCACAAAAACTGGAATACAAGTAAATAACAGAATACAAATTGGAGCAACGATCAATAAAATAATAATCTTTCTATCGTAATTTTTACTAAGATGTATATTAGCTAGTTTTGGACTGGAGATTCCTAAACGAATTGATTCTTCAGATCTGAAATCATAACTGTGCCTAGGTGAATGTTGCGCCGAAGCCATAACTTTTTTTTTTTTAAAAAAAAACGAAGAAACGAGCCGTTCTTCCTTTTTCGGATAACACTAATTTTTTTTTTTTTTAATTCCTCTTTCTTATACAGTATTATTAATATAATTGTCTTTGAAAATTTTTAAAAAAGAATACAAAAGAAAGAAGTTAAAAAAGTTGATAAAAAGTTATTGCCACAAATAATTTGTTAATAAAATGGTGGCAAAGTTTTTTTTTTTACCACTATTGCGGAAACATTCCAATAAGTCGAAATTTTTTTGCAGGCGCTGTCCTTTTATTAGAAAGTCTAGAAAGTCTTGGCGTAAATATAAATTGCGTCAATTATATTTCATTTATGATGTTATATAATGTCTAATGACTTCATCCAAGAAATAAAGTGGTTGTTACACGAACTCTGCGTTCCATAATCTTCTCTTTAGAAAACTTCTATATTGTTTTTTTTTGTTTTAATTAAATAGAAATTATAATCAACAGGAAAATGTGACGCAGTTTAAGGCGCGGAGATCATATTATATATGAATGTGACTTAGACTTTTTAGGCTTTAAATTAATTATATTTATACTTGTATTTTACCTGTTATACCCTATTATGTATGGCTTTGATAAAAGAGTTTTTAATGTACTTTCATTGTTTTCTGGCTTTGCCTTTCAATCTTTGATCATTTTTTTTTTAAAGAACAAAGTCTTATAATTGTAACAAATTGATTGAAAGCATAGCCTCAAAACATGATCAGCCATATCTGAATTTAAAAAGGACACAATAATTAAAATCTTTTAATAATACACTTATATTTAAATATATCTTTATTTATGTAAAATATGTTATTTTATAATTTCAATTGCCTAATATTAAATTTCCTTTCTTTGTTCAAATATTAAAGATTCTTCAGGTGGATTAGAAATGGGACCAACCATCAACTTTTTTGGCATATTACCATTTTCAGTTCTAACATGATATTTTAATATAACATGATATAAAAATAATTTTAAAACTAAAACAGCATAAAATCTACCAGGACATGCATGACGACCTCCACCAAAAATCACAAAATTTCTATCAACTTTTGATGCTGAAATATTTTGTGAGACAAATTGAAATGGTTTAAATGATTTTGAATCTGGTCCATATTGTGATTCAGAAAATAAACAATCTTCTGAAAAGTCAAATACATTTCGTCCTATTATAATAAAGGAAATTAACAGTCGCAGGGACCAAGAGTTAACACGTTTAAAAGATAAAAAATTTATTAATAAATTTGCTTTTTTACCTTTGGGAATCGTATAACCATTTGAAAAAGTATAATGATCAGTAGTTACAGCATGAGGAACAATGACTAAATAAATTTAGATTAATATAACAAGCAGTTATAAATGAACAAATTGAATATGTTAAATTAGATATATTACTCATATCACCAGTATGTCGGAGAGATTCTCTAATGAAACTATCCAATTTTATCATTTTGTTAATATCATTTAAAGCAAGTTTTCCATTACATTCTTTGTTAAATGTTGATGCTTCCTCATATAACTCATCCCAATATTCGGGCCTACCGGCATAATCTTTTTAAAAAAAAGAAAAAAAGATTAATAAGTAAATAATAAAATTAGAAATTTTAGAGTAAAGGTGATATAATACCAAATAAAAGATTAGCTAAAGATTTTCCTGTTGTCCCGATACCAACAATAATTAAAAAAATCAATAAATCAGCAAAATAATTATAATTCACATTTGATGGAACAAAATCTGGTTGTGACATATAAAATTCCAATATATCATCCTATAAAAATAAAATTTTAATAATAATAATATAATAAATAATTAAAGTTAAAATTAAATTTATACTACAGATGGTTTATATGAATCACCAAGAATTTTCTTTTGTTGAATTCGATTTTCAACTACAGGTTTCATGCGGTTTATAAGAATTTTTTTATGCTTTGCAATTGGACTAAATCCAATTAAAAACGGTAATCTATAAATTTTAAAGAAATTTTAAAGTGAGTTGTAAATAAATTAGATGATTAAAAATAAAAAAATTTATATTTACGAAATTACAAATTCGTGTAATTTCTGATGAATAAACGAAAGGAATGGTGGTAAGAAAAAAAATCGATTCATATCATCAGTTAATACCGCAAATGTGTGAATAACATCCTCATGTTGAGATGCTTCCTATATTTAAAAATTTTAATTAAATTATCCAGGTTTTAAAATGGCAAGATAACAAGATTTATACTAGCAAGATTACTAAAATCATACTTACTTCTCCTATACAAATATTTGCAATTAACTTAGCAGTAACATGATTAGTAAAATTCCAAATCGGTTTAATACTCCTAGGTTCTTTAAAAAAAAGTGTATTTTAAAAAAAGGAATATTTATTTCTCTAACAAACTTTATATATTTACCATTACATTCTCCAATCCATTTATCTAGACAATAGAGGATATTTTTTTGCATTTTATCAAAATGTAATGATAATTTTCCACTAATTTGTTCCCTAGTAGTTTTTGCATGAAAATCGGTAATATCAAATGGATTATGATCTAAAATAAAATGAAAAGGCGCCAACTAATAATAATAATAATAATAATTAAATATTTTTTTAATATTTTAAAATTTTTACTTTAAATTAATTACCTCTTTGAGTACTTCAAATGAATCAAAATTTTCATGAGCTTTAGTTACTTCAGGTATATATTTTTGTGCCACAACAGTCGTTACTCTTCCAAATATAATAATATTAAAAGGTTCTCCGTACTAAAATTAAGGTAATATTTAATTAATTTACGATAAAATTTTAACCAAAAATTCATTTGAATGATACCTCTTTTAAACATTTTTTAATAAAATTTTCAGTGTTAAAGAAATAGCTGAACGTATGGCCAATCACTGGAATAGTGTATGGGACAAGAGGGGGTTCATTCTAAAAAATAAAAATCAATTTTATTTTTGATAATGATTACAAAAAATTATTTATAACAAAAATAATGCATACCTACCTCACTAAGTCTTGGTGATTTGATATAAATAAAAACGATTAAAAGAAAAATAAAAGAAAGCAACGCAATCATTATGATCTTTTAGATTGTTAAAAATTTTATAATATTCGTTTTGAGAAAATTTATTTTATTTCCTTATTTGAAGGAAAACAAAGTTCATATTAATAATGATAATGCAGTAATATAAATAAATATAAATTCACTGATCATGATCAATTGATAACTTGATAAATAATGACTCACATTGATCTTTTTAATTTTCAGTTAGTCCTAAAAAGACAAAGTTCTTATATATTCCTTGTCTAAATATTAATTTTAAAACTTGTATTATACGATTCTATAATTTGATTCAACAATGATAATACTGTATTATTGGTTGAAAGACCTAATAAAATATAAATCCCGGATATTCCTTTGTTAAAAGAAATCAATGATTTTTTTTTTTTGAAAAATTATCGTCTCAACCTACAATTGTTTCACCATTTCAACTAAATAAATAACTTTTTATAATAAAAAGATTAATTAATTATTTTGTAATTTTTATTAATTACTCACATAACGCTTAATATCATAATACTGTTTATAACACCAAATGCTTAGTTAATTAATTTGTGAAGCTGATCAAGTATAAAAAGAACTTTGGAGACCCTGTCGGTAAGTGTCGGTTAAAATGATCGATTTTCGCGTTGAAAATTAAAAAAATCAATAGGTGGAGATCATATTATATCAACTGTATCATGTGCAATTTATACTTGTAATTTTACCTGTTATAACCTATTATGTATAATGTACATTATTAAATTTTGTAAAAATCACGTGATAGGAGTACAAAAATCACATCAATTCCTGCCCCTATCATATTAAAATCTAGGGGTTATATATATATATATTGATCGCATAGTCCCCAGCCAGCCATATTTGAATTTAAAAAGGATGTAATAATAATAATACACTTATATTTATTTATATAAATATGATGTTATACAATTTCAATTGCCTAATATTAAGTTTCCTTTCTTCGTTCAAATATTAAAGATTCTTTAGGTGGACTAGCAAAAGGACCAGTCATAACCTTTTTTGGCATATTACCATTTTCAGTTCTAACATGATATTTTAATATAACATGATATAAAAATAATTTTAAAACTAAAACAGCGTAAAATCTACCAGGACATGCATGACGACCCCCTCCAAAAATCACATAAGTTCTATCAACTTTTGATGCTGAAACATTTTGTGAGACAAATTGAAATGGTTTAAATGATTTTGAATCTGGTCCATATTGTGATTCAGAATACAAACAATCTTCTGAAAAGTCAAATACATTTCGTCCTATTATAATAAAGAAAATTAATAGTCGCAGAGATCAAAAGTTAGTACGTTTAAAGGACAAAAAACTTATTAATAATTTGCTTTTTTTACCTTTGGGAATCGTATAACCATTTGAAAAACTAAAATGGTCAGTAGTTACAGCACGAGGAACAATGACTAAATAAATTTAGATTAATATAACAAGCATTATAAATGAACAAATTGAATATGATGTTAAATTAGATATATTACTTATATCATCAGTATGCCGGAGAGATTCTCTAACGAAACTATCCAATTTTGTCATTTTGTTAATATCATTTAAAGTAAATTTTCCATTACATTCTTTGTTAAATGTTGATGCTTCCTCATATAACTCATCCCAATATTCGGGCCTACCGGCATAATCTTTTTTTAAAAAAAGAAATAAAGATTAATAAGTAAATAATAAAATTAGATATTTTAGAGTAAAGATGTTTATAATACCAAATAAAAGATTAGCTAAAGATCTTCCCGTTGTCACGATACCAACAACAATTAAAAAAATTAATAAATCAGCAAGATAACTATAATTCACATTTGATGGATCAAAATTTGGTTGTGACATATAAAATTCCAATATATCATCCTATAATAATAAAATTTTAATAATATAATAATTAATTAAAGTTAAAATTGAATTTATCTTACAGATTGTTTGTATGAATCGCCAAGAATTTTCTTTTGTTGAATTCGATTTTCAACTACAGGTTTCATGCGGTTTATAAGAACTTTTTTATGCTTTGCAATTGGATTAAACCCAATTAAAAACGGTAATCTATAAAATTTAAAGAAATTTTAAACCGACTTTTTTGCGTTGTAAAGATAATTTTAAAAATTTTATATTTACGAAATTACAAATTCGTGCAATTTCTGATGAATAATCGAAAGAAATGGTGGTAATAAAAAAAATATATTCATATCATCAGATAATACTGCAAATGAATGAATAACATCTTCATGCTGAGATGCTTCCTATATTTCAAAATTAAATTAACCAAGTTTTAAAATGGCAAGATAACAAGACTTATACTAGCGAGATTACTAAAATGATACTTACTTCTCCTATACAAATATTTGCAATTAACTTAGCAGTAACATTATTAGTAACATTCCAAATCGGGTTAACACTCCTAGGTTCTTTAAAAAAAAAGTGTATTTTAAAAAAAGAAATAATTATTTCTCTAACAAACTTTATATACTTACTATTACATTCTCCAATCCATTTATCTAAACTATAGAGGATATTTTTTTGCATCTTATCAAAATGTAATGATAATTTTCCACTAATTTGTTCCCTAGTAGTTTTTGCATGAAATTCAGTAATATCAAATGGATTATGATCTAAAATAAAATGTAAAGGCGCAAACTATAATAATAATAATAATTAAATAATTATTTAATATTTTACTTTAAATTTTTATTTTAAATTAATTACCTCTTTGAGTACTTCAAATGAATCAAAATTTTCATGAGCTTTAGTTACTTCAGGTAAATATTTTTGTGCCACAACAGTCGTTACTCTTCCAAATATAATAATATTAAAAGGTTCTCCGTACTAAAATTAAGGTAATATTTAATTAATTTACGATAAAATTTTAATCACAAATTCATTTGAATGATACCTCTTTTAAACATTTTTTAATAAAATTTTCAGTGTTAAATAAATAGCTGAACGTATGACCAATCACTGGAATAGTGTATGGGACAAGAGGTGGTTCATTCTAAAAAATAAAAATCGGTGTTATTAAATTTTATTTTTGATAATGATTACAAAAAATTATTTATAACGAAAAATAATGCATACCTCACTAAGTCTTGGTGATTTGATATAAATAAAAACGATTAAAAGAAATATAAAAGAAAGCAACGCAATCATTATGATCTTTTAGATTGTTAAAAATTTTATAATATTCGTTTTGAGAAAATTTATTTTATTTCCTTGTTTGAAGGAAAAAAAGGTCATATTAATAATGAAAATGAAAATAACGCAGTAATATAAATAAATAAGTATAAATTCACTGATCATGTTAATAACCATTCCATTGATTTTTCTCTTTTACATCATTTTACGTTTAATATTTCAGTTAGTCCTAAAAAGACAAAGTTCTTTTTACTTTTATATATTCCTTAAAAACGATTCGTTTTACTTCTATAATTTGATTTAACAATGAATCTACTGTATTATTGGTTGAAAGATAGTGAACGAAGATATTTTTTTTACTGCGATAATCAATAGGAATTAATGCTACCAATGATATTAGATATCTGTTGTACCTAAATCTGGATATTCCTTTGTTAAATTACCAGAAATGGGATATTTTACTAATTTGGTAACATTATGTTTATTATTTATTTCTAAAGAATATACATGTATTGTCTCAATGAAAAAAAAAATGTAAAAATAAAAAATGGATGCTGGAGAATGAACAACCTAAAAATTATTGCCAGTGCTTCTGAATTTGCCAAAAACGTCAGTATAAAGGGGAAATGCCAGCTCGAAGATCGTGCAAAAATTATGGCGTGGGTGGTTTTTGTATAAAGGCAAAATATATATTAACTGCATATCATCACGGCTCATTGGATTATAATGAATAGGAAAGAAATGTGCTTCAAACAAATTATGAATGCCAAGTTTTATAAAATTCTTCGTATAAAATCATTGACCTCTTTGGCCGAAAAATAATTAGCCGCAACGTGACCCGGACCCAGCTCAGGCGTAGATCGTCGTGGAATTCCAGGGAATTTTCTGATCAGCAATCAGGAATTCGGCTCCGTTTTTCGGCAAACTACACCATTATAACTTTTCAGTCATTGTTTTCAATCGGTACTAAATAAATTTGTTGTTTTTTAATTATAATAGCCACTGGTCCACGTTATCAAGGAATGATTTTATTTTCAACAGCTAGTAAAAATTACAGAATTACTGATACGAATTTCTCTATAAAAAATTTTTCAGATAAATGATCACTCTAAGTTTCCTTGGATCATTTATCCAGAATTTTTTATAGGGTTTATGAGGATCATTTGATCATTCTAGAAGTATCGTGACTATGACTTTATAGAAATTGGACAAAGTCATATGATTTAAAAAGGACGACCAAAGCATACTAGTTATATACTAGTTATCATGCTAAGGCCTCTCTTGAAGAAAATTTTCCAGATTTTAGAATGGCCATCAATTTATGAGAGTGATCACGAAAGTAGAAACGAATGCCAAAAAATCGATGATCTGTAAAATAAAATAATTTTTTCTTACAATTGTGGAAACGCTCTAATAAGTCGAAATTTCTTTGAAGACTTGGAATAAATAAAAAATTGCGTCAATTGTATTCATGGGGTTATAATAAAAAAATTGATTATTTTTGTAATTTTTATTAATGTTAATTACTCGCATAATCATATAATAAACGCTTAATACAAAATATATCATAATACTGTTCTTAGTGTGTTTAAAAAAATCAACAGTAAAAGAATTTTGTACAAATCACGTGATAGGAGTATATATTGCCATTTACCCCAGTATCACCGACACTTTTATAATTAAAATTCCACCCCCACGTGACCGGTGACATTTAAAGGGATGTGAAAAAATAATTTTGCGAGGCAAAAAAAACTAAGTCCCTCAGATAAATATAAACAGTGAAAACGCGGTGGGTGTGATGCCGGTGATGAATATTACAAAATCACGTGGGGGTGGAAAAAGTGTCGGTGATACTGGGTAAGATATATATTGCCACAAAAATCACATGCCCGATCATAGGGGTTTTTTTTATAGGAGCGATGTTTGATCGCATAGCTCCAAAACATGATCAGCTATATTTGAATTTAAAAGGACGTAATAATAATAATACACTACTTATATTTAAATATCTTTATTTATATAAATATGTTATTATACAATTTCAATTGCCTAATATTAAGTTTCCTTTCTTCGTTCAAATATTAAAGATTCTTTAGACGGAAAAACAAAAGGACCAACCATCAACTTTTTTGGTGTATTACCATTTTCAGTTCTAACATGATATTTTAATATAACATGATATAAAAATAATTTTAAAACTAAAACAGCGTAAAATCTACCAGGACATGCATGACGACCCCCTCCAAAAATCACATAAGTTCTATCAACTTTTGATGCTGAAACATTTTGTGAGACAAATTGAAATGGTTTAAATGATTTTGAATCTGGTCCATATTGTGATTCAGAAAACAAACAATCTTCTGAAAAGTCATATACATGTCGTCCTATTATAATAAAGGAAATTATTAGTCGCAGAGATCAAAAGTTAGTACGTTTAAAAGATAAAAAACTTATTAATAAATTTGCTTTTTTACCTTTGGGAACCGTATAACCATTTGAAAAAGTATAATGGTCGGTAGTTACAGCACGAGGAACAATGACTAAATAAATTTAGATTAATATAACAAGCAATTATAAATGAACAAATTGAAACATGTTAAATTAGATATATTACTCATATCACCAGTATGTCGGAGAGATTCTCTAATGAAACTATCCAATTTTGACATTTTGTTAATATCATTTAAAGTAAATTTTCCATTACATTCTTCGTTAAATGTTGATGCTTCCTCATATAACTCATCCCAATATTCGGGCCTACCGGCATAATCTTTTTTTTAAAAAAAAAGAAAAAAAGTATTAATAAATAAATAATAAAATTAGAAATTTTAAATTGAAAATGCTTATAATACCGAATAAAAGATTAGCTAAAGATCTTCCCGTTGTCACGATACCAACAACAATTAAAAAAAATAATAAATCAGCAAGATAATTATAATTCACATTTGATGGATCAAAATTTGGTTGTGACATATAAAATTCCAATATATCATCCTATAATAAAATTTTAATAATAATATAATAATTAAGTTAATTTAAAATTGAATTTATCTTACAGATTGTTTGTATGAATCGCCAAGAATTTTCTTTTGTTGAATTCGATTTTCAACTACAGGTTTCATGCGGTTTATAAGAACTTTTTTATGCTTGGTAATTGGATTAAAACCAATTAAAAACGGTAATCTATAAAATTTAAAGAAATTTAAAGCGACTTTTTTGCGTTGTAAAGATAATTTTAAAAATTTTATATTTACGAAATTACAAATTCGTGCAATTTCTGATGAATAAACGAAAGAAATGGTGGCAAGAAAAAAAATCGGTTCATATCATGAGATAATACTGCAAATGAATGAACAACATCTTCATGTTGAGATGCTTCCTATATTTCAAAATTAAATTAACCAAGTTTTAAGATGGCAACTTACTAGCGAGATTACTAAAATCATACTTACTTCTCCTATACAAATATTTGCAATTAACTTAGCAGTAACATGATTACAAACATTCCAAATTGATTTAATACTCCTAGGTTCTTCAAAAAAAAATGTGTATTTTAAAAAAAGAAATATTTATTTCTCTAACAAACTTTATATAATATCCACTTACCATTACATTCTCCAATCCATTTATCTAAACTATAGAAGATATCTTCTTGCATCTTATCAAAATATAATGATAATTTTCCACTAATTTGTTCCCTAGTAGTTTTTGCATGAAAATCGATAATATCAAATGGATTATAATCTAAAATAAAATGTAAAGGCACAAACTATAAAAATAATAATTAGACAATTTTTTAATACAAATTTTACTTGAAATTTTTATTTTAAATTAATTACCTCTTTGAGTACTTCAAATGAATCAAAATTTTCATGAGCTTTAGTTACTTCAGGTATATATTTTTGTGCCACAACAGTCGTTACTTTTCCAAATATAATAATATTAAAAGGCTCTCCATACTAAAAATAAGGTATATTTCATTAATTTACGATAAAATTTTAATTAAAGATTCATTTGAATGCTACCTCTTTTAAACATTTTTTAATAAAATTTTCAGTGTTAAATAAATAACTGAACGTATGACCAATCACTGGAATAGTGTATGGGATAAGAGGGGGTTCATTCTAAAAAATAAAATTGGTTTTATTTTTGATAATGTTTATAAATAATTATAACGAAAAATTATGTATACCTCACTAAGTCTTGGTGATTTGATATAAATAAAAACGATTAAAAGAAATATAAAAGAAAGTAATGCAAACATTATGATTAATTCAGAGAAAATTTATTTCATTTCCTTGGTTGAAAGAAAAACAAAAATGAAAATGAAATTAACACAATAATATAAACAAAATAAGTATAAATTTATTTCTGATCATGTTCTAATTCCTGCTAAATATTTAGTTTATTTACGTAATTTTTAATAGTTTAATAATAACAATTCCATGACTATTCCCTTTACATCATTTTACATTTAATACTCCCATATTCTTCCGAAGTTAGTCCTAAAAAGACAATTACTTTTATAAACATATCAATTTTAAAAATTTGTATTATACAATGAATCATGATTTAATTTTACGAACAATGATATACTGAAAGATAATGGACGAAGATGTGTTTTTTTTTACCGCGATAATTAATATGAATTTTAAAATACTACCAATGCTGACATGCCGTATCAGATGTTGTTATGCTTAATAAAATATAAATCCGCATATTCCTGCTGATAACGATCGTTCAAAGGAATATTGCTTTTGATGAAAAAAAATGTCACGCGGCATATAATAATCTACTTCGCCAGAAATGGACTAATTTTACTAATCTTGTACCGCCTAAGTACGTAATATTACTAAAATATATAAAGTTTATGGTTACGTTTGTTTACTAGCTCCTCAATGAGAAATTTCTATAGATTACACAAACTCACAAACATTTCAAATATGTAAAAATAAAAAATAATGGATGAACAACCTGCAAATGCTTCACGTGATTGACGTGATTGTGCAGTCAATGTTATATGTCTCTTTCAACAATGATTATTTCCCAAGCACACAAACAAAAACGTGCATATTTACTGATGAAACAACATTTCAGCTTCTTTGAAAAAATACTGCGGAACGTCATTAAATGATTTGAATTTTACTAATTATTTATATCTTTCTTGAGTATCACAGATCAATAGATTACAAATGAATGCTTCAAACAAATAAGTTTTGCGTAAAATTCTTTTAAAAGACGTCAAATCAACGCATCCAATCATATCACTTCTAGAGGTATCGTGACTATGACTATGATTCTATGAACTAAAACTTGTAAAAACCGAACAAGTCACATGATTTAAAGAGGTGCAATGATCCAAGGCCTTTCTTGAAGAAAATTTTCCAGGTTTTAGAATGGCTATTAATTTATGAAAGTAATCATGAAAGAGTAAAATAAAGAAATGGATACCAAAAAATCTTGGATGATCAGGAAAAAATTTATGGGCGGAGGAATAGCAAAATTATTATAATTAATCTTTCTAAATTCAATGAGACGATATTATAATGATGACGTATACTATACTATATTTCCACACAAAATGATCTTCCCCCATTTGAATGTTTTACCAATCAAATAAAATTTTTTTTCATTTTTTTATTTTTATTTTTATTTTTTTTTTTATCAACTTCTATAATCAAAAAAGCCTCACCTAAGCTGTACCAGATAATCAACAATTTCCAAATATGCAAACATTTGAATTATGTAATTTATATTTATTTCATCTCATTTTCTCTCATTGCGAGTTCCTTTATTTAGGGATGGTTCATGCAAATGCATGCATATTACAAAGAAAAAAGTTTAATCCAGATTTCTTTTTTGGTTGTAAAAAAAAAAGTTATTTTTAGCCGAACATTAATTTTAATATTCGGATGTAAATAATTATAGGATTTTCAAAATCATATATATTAGTATCTGTCGATTCCCAGATTTACAAGGTAATAACATAAGTGGACAAATTAAAGGGATAAGAAATTTATTTTGTTTTTTTTTTCTTTCAAAAGCTAATAAAAATTCGAAATATAGAACGATAGACGATCATCGGAAGAAGTTAACTTTCTAGAATTTTGAAACCTTAAATTTAATCTTTTTTATCCCTAATCTACTTCAAGTTCTCAACCTTATCCTAGATTAACTTCACGTTTTAATTCAAAAATAGTAATAAAATCTGCAAGTCGGTTATTTATTGTTACAAAAATAGAACCTACATCTCAACTTCTCATATTATTTATCACAATACCTAATCTCAAAAAGTACATACATGTATTACATCTGTACAGAAAAATATTAAGAATAAATAATATTACAGCTCAAGGTTTAAAAACAATTTATAACGAAATTTCACCTTACTTTTATATTATTCTAAAAAAAAAAATGTATATCGCAGTAAGAGTGAAGTTTCGAATCTATATAAATGAATAACAATTAGTTTCCTTATAGAAAGTGAAATGGCGTTCCGATATTTAATTGTTATCCAAGTTAGATTAATCATATAAACGTACGTTACTCAAAATATGCTGTGTTTTTTTACTCCTCATTTTCCTCATTTAATGTTTATAGGGTTAAATAAAGTAATGTAGCATATGACATGATTAATTCATAGTGATATAGCCAATTAAAGCAAACTTGGATCGTTTATATTTGAAACACAAGAATTGTTATTGTATCATAAGGAGATAAGTATTGTTGGTTGTGAAAGGTTAAGGAGCGCCATTTTTGTTTAGTGGTTTGACCATCGAATTGATTGGAAATAAATTTTCTAAAAAAAAAAAAAAATAATAAAAGCATTGTTCGTTCTAAGTTATGGAAAATCACTACTCTTTCTTAAGTCCCTTTTTTTCCTTAACCCATCGATTAAAATTTACAAAATTTCAATATGAGTGATATAATGAACAAAGAAGAAATAATAAGAGAAGAAATAGTTGATGATATATCACCAACACGAACAAATACATACGTTGAGGATAATAGGGATACAATATTCTCTGATATAAGTAATTCAACTTTGGTCGAATCAATACCGAGAATAATAACAACGAACGTTGATGGTAAAGAAAAAAATGTTGAATTCACTACAGAAGAACAATATAATGGCAAAAGAAAAACATCAATATATAAACCTGTACAAAAACCTCCATTACAAGTATCTCCGACATCAGTTTTTCATATCTTCAGATTTGCGACATCTGTCGATTATTTTTTAATGACATTAGGAATGTTTTTTAGTGTATTAAGTGGTTTACTTATACCATTAATGACACATTTATTAGGAAAAATATTCGGCGCTTTTACAGACAAACAAATTGGTGCTATAACAAATCAAGTATTTGAAGAAAAAATAAAAACATTATTATTCCAATTTTCATTATTAGGAGTAGGATCTTTTGTGCTTATGGGTTCAATGATAACATGTTGGATGTGGACTGGTGAAAGACAATCTAAAAAAATGAAACAAATTTATTTCAAATCTTTATTAAGAATGGAAATAGCATATTTTGAAAGAGATGATGTAACTTCAGGAGGTTTATTAACTAGTGTAAATAAAGATACTGAAGATGTACAGGCTGTCATTTCAGAACATATGGGTTACTTGATACAAGATGTTGTTACAGTTGTAAGTACATTTGTATTAGCATTTATTAGTCATGCTATACTTACACTTGTAATATTAGCTTCTATGCCATTATTGCTTCTCTCATTAGCTTACACTTCACGTAGAGCTAGTCCATTAATTGTACAAGAACGTGATATTTTTGTTCAAGCCGGAAATGTATTAGAAAATGCGTTATCAGCTATAAAAACAATAAGAGCATTTAATGGTGAAGAAAAAGAAGAGAAAAAACATCAAAATTATTTACAAGCTGCAAATAGTGTTTCGTCAAGTTTAGCTTGGACATATGGTTTAAGATCTGGTTTAACTCAATTTCTCATATTATCATTATTTGTACAAGGGTTTTGGTTTGGAGCCACTCTTGTAGCCAATAAAAGATTAGCTCCAGGTGAAGTTTTAAGCGTATTTTATTCCGCAATGTTAGGATTAGGTGTTCTTAAAAACATTTTACCTAGAATAGTTTCAATTGAAAGAGGAAAAAATGCTGTTAATTCTATAAACATTTTATTAGAAAAAGTCGCTTTAATGGAATTAGAAGCTTTAAGAGGTTTTAAATTATCAAAAATCGAAGGAAATATTGAATTTAATCAAGTTAGTTTTTCTTATCCAAGTCGTCCTGATACATGGGTATTAAGAAATATTGATTTATATATACCAGCATATCAAACAACAGTATTCGTAGGTGAAAGTGGTTCAGGAAAATCTACAATAACTCAATTAATTCAAAGACTTTATGAACCTGAAGAAGGTTTAATTATGTTAGATGGCCGGGAGTTAAGAATACTAAATATTTCTTGGTTAAGACAACAAATTGGTGTCGTAAGCCAAGAACCCGTACTTTTTGATGATACCATATTCGCTAATGTCGCTTATGGTAGAGCAGATTATTGGAATACCACTATGAAAGAAGTCGAAGATGCTTGTAAATTAGCTTGTATTCATGATTTCATAATGGAATTACCTCAAGGTTATGATACTGGCTTGGGTGATATGGGTAAAAAATTATCAGGTGGACAACGACAAAGAATTGCCATCGCACGTGCTTTAATTAAAGATCCTGCCATACTTATTTTGGACGAAGCATCAAGTGCATTGGATATGACCTCTGATCATATGGTACAAAAAGCTCTTGAAAATTGTAGAAAGAATAGAACCACAATTGTTGTTACTCATCAACTCAAACATATTGGAGATTCAGATTTGGTTTACGTCATGAATGAAGGTGAAATCGTTGAATCTGGTACAAAATCACAATTGTTGGATATTAAAAATGGTTATTATAATAAACTTTCAGTAGACCATTCCCCAAATCCTAAACGTCGTACTCCTGAATTAGATAGTATTAATAAAAGATTAAATTCACATGAATCTCAACAAATTTGTACAACTCCTACATCATTAAAAGCCAAAAGAGTCTCAGCAATGAATTTTTTATCAGCTGATCTTTCTTTATCCCCACCACCAAGTGCCACTTTCAGTCGAAAATCATGGTATTTTGAAGATCCTATGGATATGGACATGTTACAAGGAAGTGCTACCGCAGCATTTTCTAAAAGGAATGAAATAAATGATAATAGTACCTCAATAAATGATATAATTAGTTATTATGAAGATAATGATGATGGCGTAATAATCGATGTTTTAGTAACAAATCCTGATGAATCGAAATCCGAAAATACAGAACAACAAAAATTTAAATTTCCTATTATTAAACTCATAAGAGAGACCATGGATAATAAATCATTTTATTATATTGGAATAATAGCTACCGTCATTAATGGACTTGTCATGCCCGCATTCTCATTCGTATTAGCAAACTTATTAAATACTTATTCAATAGCTGATAAAGATAAACTTATGTATGAATCAAGAAAATTCGCATTATACGTTCTTTTGATTGCCATAATAAATGGTATATCAACACATTTTAAATATTACTTATTAGAAAGAGCATCAGAAAGGTGGGCAGTCCGTTTAAGACATTTAGGATTTGGAAAAGTATTACGTCAACCACAATCATGGTTTGATAAACCAGAAAATGCTACCGGTAAAGTAACAACGATATTGACAACAGATACTGAATCATCAAAAAATTTAATAGGACAATTCGCTGGTAACATAATACTTGGATTGATATCACTATTTGGTGGCATAATATGGGCATTTGCTGTCGGATGGCAATTAACTTTGGTTGGATTTGGATTAGTACCACTATTACTTATTATATCCGAATTACAAGGTTTCATTCTTCAAAAATATGAAAAATCACAAAAACTTGCAACAGAAAATGCTGCAAACTCTTTTTATCAAACAATTTCAAGTTTACGTACGGTATTTTCTCTTGCGATCGAACCTGCTATGGAAAATAAATTCCATTCATCCTTAGAAAAACCTTATAAAATTGGTGTTAAAAAAGCATTTATTTGTGGTTTTACTTCTGGATTTTTGGATTCTTTATCATATTTAACCAAAGTTGTAACATTTGGATATGGAGCCAAATTAGTTTCCGATGGAGTTTATGATCTTCAAACAATGCTCGTAGTTTGGACCTTGGTTATATTTTGCACTACATCAGCATCTCAAATGCTTGCCACTATTCCGTATTACGCCAAAAGTAAACAAGCAATTAAAACAATTGATAAAATTATTAATTTACCAGTGACATCAAATACCGAAGGTATTAAACCTAATCATATTCAAGGTACAATTGTATTTAAAGACGTTAAATTTTCATATCCAGAAAGACCCGATACAACAGTACTTAATGGGCTAGATTTAACCATACATCAAGGTCAAACTGTTGCATTAGTAGGAAGAAGTGGTAACGGTAAATCAACTGTAGCAGCTTTGTTACAAAGAATTTATGAACCAACACATGGTAGCATTATGTTAGATTATGAAGATTTAAAAGGTTTAGAATTACGTTGGTTAAGAGAAAATGTTGGTATAGTTAGTCAAGAACCAGTATTATTTGATATGACAATTGCTGAAAATATTTCTTATGGTAAAGATGATGCTACTAAAGAAGAAATCGAAACCGTTGCTAAACAAGTTAATTTACATGAGTTTATACTTAATTTACCAAATGGTTATGATACTAAACTTGGTTCATGTGGTTCTCAATTATCTGGTGGTCAAAAACAAAGAATTGCTATTGCTAGAGTTTTATTAATAGATCCTAAAATATTGATATTGGATGAAGCCACAAGCGCTCTAGATACAACTAATGAAGCCATTGTACAAGAAACTCTTAGTAAAGTTCAAAAAGGTCGTACAACACTGGTTATCACTCATCGTCTTAAAAGTGTAAAGAATTCGGATAAAATTGCTTTAGTTGAGGGTGGTAAAATTCTTGAATCTGGTACTCATAAAGAATTAATGACACTTCGTGGTGAATATTTTGAATTAGTTAGAAGCGGTAATTTGTAAAGAGTAGTGCTTGAAAAGGAAAAAAAAAATAAAAATAAAAATAATTCAATCAATTTTTGTCCCTGGTGGACAATTTATTTTTTAAAAATTACAACTTGAAAGAATAGTCTTAATGTATTGTTTTATGAGGTAAATTTAAGTAAAAAAAAAATTACATCAAAAAAAATAAAATAAAATAAATAAATCTATTATAATCCATCTACATTGTATTTTTCAGTATAATAATCTTTTACGCTAAAAAGTGATAAAAGAATTTTTGTGTTATAATTAAATGGTTTTGTGCAAGTTTTTTCGTGTTGTAACCTAAAATGGTTTGGATTTACGTATACAAGTCGACTTTTTTGCACAGATTTCACTACACAGTATTTCTCAATATCTGGTTCAATATCTTTTAATTTAATTATCTTCTGGAAAAGTTATTGATATAAATCTTCACATTCTTGTTCAACTTCTTTTAAAAAAAGTTGTTGATATAATTCTTCACATTCTTGTTCAACAAGTTGTTGATATAAATCTTCACATTCATGTTTAATTTCTTTTGATATTTCTTATTCTTTTTGTTTATTTTGATATAAAAAATCTTCTGATTCAATATCTTCCTGTTCAATATCTTCTGATTCAATATCTTTTGATTCAATATTTTCTGATTTAATATCTTCTAGTTTAACATTTTCTGATTCAATTTAAAAATATCATTGAATTAATTGTTAATATAAATTATTTACTAGTTCAATATCTTTTGATTCAGTATCTTCTGATTCAAAAGAAAAAAGTTCTTGTTCTAAAATACTACTAGTTTTTTAATAAAAATAAATACCTTGTTTTTTATTACAATATAAGTTTTCTGATTAAACAGAAATTTTGTCTCCCTTAAAAAGTAATAAAACTAAATAATATTAAGATTATTACATGTATCTATAGGTAATATTAAAGTAATGATAAAATCACTGCTAAAATCCAAAAATCTATGATATAATGATTTTCCAATATTTCTTAAAATTACAATTTAATTCATTACCTAAATTAAATATTTCAGTTTCAATATCATTAATTATTTCACAATTCTTAAATATTAAATTCAGTATTTCTTGTTCTTTTTATTTATTCAATATCTTCTAATTCAATTTGAAAAAATTATTGATATAAAAAATCTTCTGGTTCAATATTTGGTTCAATATCTTCTGATTCAATATCTCTTATATACAATACTGCCTAATATATTATTGAAACATATAATCCATAAAATCATTTAAAACAAATATGTTGCTTAATTTGAAAATTTTCATCATATTCTTATTCAACTTCTTTTGATATTTCTTGTTCTTTTTGTTTATTTTCTAATTCAGTATCTTCTGATTCAATTTGAAAAAATTATTGATGTAAAAAATCTTTTGATTCAATATCTGGTTCAATATCTTCTAATTTAATATCTTTTGGAAAAAGTTGTTCTGATTCAATATCTTTTTGTTCAATATCTTCTAATTCAATATCTTCTGATTCAATATTTTTTGATTTAATATCTTTTAATTTAATATTTTCTAATTCAATTTAAAAATATCATTGAATTAATTGTTAATATAAATTATTTACTAGTTTAATATCTTTGATTCAGTATCTTCTGATTCAAAAGAAAAAAGTTTTTATTCTAAGTTTTTTAATATAAATAAATACCTTATTTTTTATTACAATATAAGTTTCTTAATTAAACAGAAATTTTGCTTCCCTTAGAAAGTAATAAAACTAAATAATATTAAGGTATTTATAGGTGATATTAAGGTAAAATTACTGCTAAAATCCAAAAATATAATAAAAAAAATAAAAATAAAAAAGATTTTCTAATATTTCTTAAAATTACAATTTAATTTATTACCTAAATTAAATATTTCAGTTTTAATATCATTAGTCATATTATTTTTAAATTCAAATAAATTTGAATATTAATTATTTTCTTTATTTACTATTAAATTAATAGTAAATAAATTTATTGGATTAATTATTTGATTATAAATATCTAATTTTTATCAAATTTATAAAATAGATAAGTCTAAATTGTATTTTTAAGTTTATATAAAATATTATAATAAAATATTAAATCTGGATTAATATTATCTTTAATAAGAAAATAATTTTTATAAATAATAAAATTATTATTTATAATTAAATTTTTATTAATATAAACTATATTATATTTTATTTTATATATAATTATATTAAAATAAAAAAAATCAACTAATATTTTTATAATTTTTTTAAAATATTTAACAAAGATCTTATTCAATTTGAAAAATCTTTTCGTTAATTTGAGAAATAATTTCTTGATGATTAATTTGATTTTGATATTCTTGTTCAATTTGAATTTTATCATATTCTTCAATTTGTTGCTTAATTTGAAAATTTTCATCACATTCTTGTTCAACTTCTTCTGGTATTTCTTGTTCTTTTTGTTTATTTTCTAATTCAATATCTTCTGATTCAATTTGAAAAAATTGTTGATATAAAAAATCTTCTGGTTTAATATTTGGTTCAATATCTTCTGATTCAATATCTTCTGGAAAAAGTTCAATATCTGGTTCAATATTTTCTAATTCAATATCTTCTGAAAAAAATTGTTGATATAAATCTTCACATTCTTCTTGTTCAACTTCTTTTGGTATTTCTTGTTCATTTTGATATAAAAAATCTTCTGGTTCAATATCTGGTTCAATATCAATTTCTTGTTCATTTTGATATAAAAAATCTTCTGGTTCAATATCTGGTTCAATATCTTCTTCAATATCTCCTAATTCAATAATTTCTGATTCAATATCTTCTGATTCAATATCTTCTAATCTAATATTTCTTGATAAAAGTTGTTGAATATCTTCTAGTCTAAAATTTCTTGATAAAAGTTGTTGAATATCTTCTAGTCTAATATTTCCTGATAAAAGTTGTTGAATTAATTGTTGATTTAAATTATTTACTGGTTCAATATCTTCTAATTCATCATCTTCTAAATCAAAAGAAAAAAGTTCTTGTTCTAAAATATTACTACCACCATCTTTTTGATAAAAATAAAAATTCCAACATTCATCAAAATTATACTTTAAATTAATACCTATATTATGCATTTCACTTTCAACATCATTAATTATTCTACAATTATTAAATATTAAATTCATATCATATTTAAATTCAAATGGATTTGAATATTGATTATTTTCTAATTTTAAATTTATAGTAAATAAATCCATTGGATTAATTATTTGATTATAAATATCAGATTTTTTATCAAATTTATAAAATGGATAAGCCCAAATTGTATTTTCAAGTTCATATAAAATATCATAACAAAACATTAAATCTGGGTTAATATTATCTTTAGTAAGAGTTTTTCTAATTGTTTTTTTTGTATAAGTTGCACCAGGTATTAAATTTTCAGCTTTATAATTTTTGATTACTTCTTGCCAATATATTTGAAGATATTTTTCTTGTTGTAAACGTTCTTTATTTATCTAAAAAGGTTGTTAGTAATAAAGAAAGTATAAGTAAGTTAATAAGATATAGAGCTTATATAAGAATATAAGAAAGTATTAAGATATAAAGTTTGTAAGATTATAAGATAAAACAATACCTTTTCTTTCAATATATCAATTGTACTCTTTTTTAATATTTTTTTTTCCTTTATTAAGTCATTTGCTTCATCTAAAAATTTATCTGCCCAATAATCATCAAAAGTTTTCCAGTTTGAGAATGGTAATGATGAAATATATGGAAATGATGCAATATAAATAAGATCATGATATTCAGTTAAGAATTCCCGATATGATAAATTAGTTCTGTTGTGTAGTAAATATTTCATAAGTTCTAAAAGACAAAGATATTGGTTAAAAATTAGTAAAGAATTAGTAAGAAAAGAAATTTGAAAAAGAAGATTATAAACTTACGATTTTTGCAAAGATATGAGTTTATAATTAAACTCATGGTTTCAAAATATAAATGTTATAAATGTATAATAAAAGAAATGTAGGCGTTGCTTTAAGTTTTTTTTTATATAATAATTTTGATATTTTTTTTTTCTAGGTTGGCCTTTAAATAAATAAAATTTCTTTGTAGGCAATATGACTCAAATTGATATATTAATGTTATATTAATGTGAAAAATTATAGCATGCAACCATCATCCTTCATTCCGAATAGTAAACTCGTATCAATCTGACAGTTATTTTAAAACAATCAATTCTAATTAAATTGATCAAATTGAGCCATGTTTTGCAAATGACCCAAATGACCCATTATTTCAATTATTGAGATCAGACTGTTATTAGACCGATACAAACTTATAGAATTATTCTGGAACATTTAGTAGTTACAAAATAATATATGACTAAATTAATATCAGAGTCACGAGATTTCATATGACTAATTCAGTTGACTAATTTTAACGATATTTTATTACTCCTATTGATTAAGTGATAAAGTTTTATGATCTACTATTAAAATTTTTGTAATCATCGTATAAATCGTATACATCATGTACACGCATCATTACACGTATTACACGTATTACACAATAAATTAGTGATCTACGATTCCTTTTCCATTTTCATTTTTTAACTTTTTTTTTTTTTTGGTCATTTCCAAAAAAGAACGCGTTATCAACGTTACTATGTTCACTTATGTTCATTATGTTCACTATATTTCCTATTTCCCTTATTTCCCTTTTTTTTTTCAAATTGAAAAAAACTTATAATATGTAAACAATTTTGGTGATTCCGTGAAAATCATTAATTATAAAAAAGCAATTTTTTAAAAATTTCACAAAAAAACGAAATGTCGAAATGTGTTCAAAATTAAATAAAGATATTATTTCAGAAATATTAGAATATTTAAATGAAGAATCATCAACAACATCATTATATTCATGTATTTTAATAAATCGAACATGGTGTTCTATTACGATGCCAATAATATGGGAAAACCCATTTTTATTTAATCAAAACACAGCATTTAAAATTATACAAACATTAATATCAAATTTAAATGAAGAAGAAATAATAAAATTAATGAAAAAAACCAATCATTCATTAGATTTTATTATAAAAAAACCATTATTTAAATATCAAAATTTTATAAAAGAAATCAATATAAATAATTTAGAATATTTAATTGAATTACATTATAATTATTTTTATACGAATATACCAACAAATATTGATTTAGAAATTTTTACAAGAAATTTATTATTAAATATGATATTTAAAACAAATTTTAATATTAAAAAATTAATATTTCATTTTAATTATAAAAATTATTTTAAATATAAAAAAAATAATTTTTTAGAAATATTAATTAATAATAATTTATTAAAAAATTCTTTAAAAAATTTGAAAAATTTTGAAATTAATATTTATTTTATAAATTTTTCAAATTTATTTAATTTAATTTATCAAAGAGAAATTATTGAAATAATTAATTATATTTCAAATTTATTGATAAATTTTTTTAATAAATTATCAAAAATATTTTTTAATATTAAATATTTAACAATTTATATTGAATTAAATAATATTGAAAGTTTATTATTTAAAAAAAAAATATGTGAAGCATATTCTCAATTAATAGAAAATCAAAAAAATCTTTTATATTTGGAGATGAATGAATTTTTTGATTATTCAATTTTTACAAAATCATTAATAACACAATCTAATTCATTAACAACATTAAAAATCAATTATTTAAGAAATATTAATAAATTATTATTAATATTAAGTAAATGTACGAATTTAATTACATTAGAATTAACAGAATATTTTGAAATTGATCAAGAAGAAGAAGAAGAAGAAGAAGAAATGTTAATGAAACAAATTTATATTGAAAATTTAATAATATTTCAATTAATTATAACAGATAAAAGACATTTCATTTATTTTATGAAATCTTTATTAAAATTTTCATTTAAAATAAAAAAATTAATATTAGAATTTATAAGTTTTGAATTATTAGATATAATTAAATTATATTGTTCAAATTCATTAGAATATTTTTCTTTAAAAGTAATACCAAATGATATTATGAAATTATGTGAAACTTTACTTTCTTTTGAAATTTTAAATTCTTTAATTATTATCGAATGGTTGGGTGATAATGATTTTCCAATTTCTTTACAAGCTTTAATTCTTTTAGCAAATTCTTTACCTAAAACTCTTAAATTTCTTGGTATAAGAACTTTTTGTAATTCTATTAATTTTAAGAAATTTCTTTTTAATATTAATGTTAATATTATTGAATTAGATATTTATAAATCTTTAGATGATGAATTTATTAATATTATTATTCAATATGTTTTAGAAAAGAATAGAAATTTAAAAATATTAGGTTATTTAAATGTACGTAATAATAATTTTAGTAGAATTAATGAATTAATTCCTACAATTAAGGAAGTCAAAAGTTATTAATCATATCTATTTTTAATAAAAAAAAGTGTTTCGGGCATCCAAAATTTGGTATTAGGAACTTTTAACAATTAAACACAACATATATTTTATATTAGTTATTAGCCCCCAAAAAAAGGGTGAAACCCAAAAGATTATAATAGGACAAAGAAAATTATGTTACGTCTTTGTGTGTTCTGTGTGTTCTGTTACATTTTATTGTTAAAGAAGGAAAAGATTATAACAACAAATTGTTGATCCTCCTTTGAATATAAAATTTTCAAAAAATTTCTCATCATTTAATTTTTTATTAAGCTGGTTCTTTTTTCCTGGTTATTAATGTTACAAATGTTTTTTTTCCTTTTTGTATTATAGAAATTTTTCCCTTTCGTATTTGACGCGCGGGTCGCATATATATATATATATATATATATATTCTCATATCATACATTTTCAAGAATATATAAGAATATATATATATATATATATAAATATCAAATACATTCTACAATCATCATTTTATTTATTTACCTAAAGATTTAAAAAAAAAAAAAAAAAAAATTTTTTTTTNGGTTTAGTACATTAAGAAGAACAATCGCATTATCCCTTATATTTTTATTACTTATATATGGATTATCTCGATTAAAAGATGTAGCTGCTTTTTTAAATTCTCCAAACATTTTAATTGTAGAACATAAGAATGTAGCGAATTTTCCAGGTAAAAATTTGTTTTTTTTTTTTTTGTATAAATTTCAAAAATTTCAAAAATTTAATCAATTATCATAAACGAGTATTAAGTATTATTCTTATTCATAAATAGGATTCATAATATGTCCAGAATCATCAAGTCCTAAATTCATTTTAGATAATGAATCACAAGTTGATCCACAATTTTCAATTACGTGCGGTTTTTCAACGATAATAGGTCCCGAAATATTATCGGAAAATATGAATATTACAGATAATGATTGTAGCTCATTAATTTCGAAAGCGGAAAATGGTTGTTTAAGATTTCAACCTGATGATAAATATGTTGATTCTATTAATGAAAAAGATGATAATGCCGCTTATAATGAAGACTTTGGTAACGGGGAAATACCATTACAATCTCTCGGATTTAATCAATCTTTATTGTTCTTTAATATTCAACCTAATATACAATCTGAGATACCATCATTTTATACATTATATTTTGAGGATTATTTACATCAGGAAACGGATAGTGAACCTGTACGTTATTCGGTTAAAGATCTTGATAATTATTTTATTGAATACACTAATATTTTAATAAATTCAGGACAAAAAAATATTATAGAATATTCTATTAATACTCATAAAGTTTTTAGTTCAAGTTTAATAGGTCTTTTAAATATAGTACCTGATTTATTTACAATGGAAATTAAATATAATACAAAATATATACAAAGTAAGGAAACTCAATTCATACTTTTACCAAAACTTCCACATTTTTTTCGACAAGAAATAGAAAAGTTTGAATATCATCCTATATCACTTGTTTCTACTATCGGTGGTTTTCACAGCGCTATTATAGCTTTTTATTTATTATTATTTGGTATGCCTAGAATTGAACCTTGGGGATTTCTTCAAAAACATTTACTTAGATTTTGGTGTCTTAGAAGAGATTTTAAATATACATTAGCTAATGATTACAATACTGAACCTGGTATACCATTAGTAGATAACATTCGAGATATTCCTAAAGAAATAAGTTTAGAAGAACGTGTTCAAAGTTTGGAATATCTACTAAAGGATAACTTTTTCGACACTTATTGCATTGAAGAATTAAAGGGCGAAGTATCAAAATATGGCTATCAAAAAGATTTTCATAAAAAATTAGAAGATTTTCTTTCAATAAAAAATAATAATAATAGAAATAATAGTGTCAATTCTGACTCCTCTTTAACGATACAAGTTCCTTCTCTGGATGATCATAATTATTTAGATTTAAATTTGAATAGTCCTTTTTCAATTTTTGTCATTTCTCCTTTACCATCTTCTGTATTCAATATAGATTAAATTCAAAAAAAAACCATTTCATTCATTTTGATTCATTTGTAAAATAGGAAAAATTTTTACTGATTATCATATAAATATAGTATATATTATAAAAATCAATAAAAAAATTAATGATACCAATTTAATTTGAAAAGCCATGGCTTAAATTATACAGTATATATCTCTTTTTGTTTGACTGTTATAGAAAGAATATTTGTTGCTAAGAATAGATAACCCGCGCCAATCATAATCATACAATATTGATTTTTCTATATTTCTAGATACTTAATAAAATTCGTTGTAAAAAATTCCAAATATTTACAATATTTACGCCATGAAAGTATGAAAGTGAATGTTACCCAGTATAAATAAAAATACAAACACCCATAATTAGGGTAAAAATATAATCCATTTATTATTATTAATAATAAATTGGAAAGTTTCGGACTTTCGGACTTCAACGTTCCGATTTACTGGTTTCATAACGTTGTGCAATGGCGTTTATTTAATATAAGTTTAATAATTTAACAACAAAAAACAACAAGGAAAATTGGAAATATTTTAATATATTGAATTTATTTTTATCTTTCTTTTTTTGTAATTTTTGTATATATTTATAAAAATATATATATATATAAAAACTTTTCTTCTCTTTTTTGAGATTATTGTTCAAATTTCAAATGATATTTAACGTCGATCCCTCATGTCCCCGTAGGCGTGGATTATTCTCAGTGTAAAAAGATTCTTAATGTTTCGAAACCAAGAATATAAAATCCATTTACCAAGTAAAACGATTGGTTTTTAATTAAATTGATGTAACACTGTCCTGTAACATAGTATAATTATATTCAGTTTCTGTAATGTAAATCCCCAAAAATCGCAAAATTTGAACCATATTGTAAATGTAAATCTTTTAGTAAATGCTGTAACTAATTAGTATTATTTTTACAATAAATTTACGAATCGAAGTATCAAATAAAAAATAAATAATAATATTAGTTAAAAAATCGAGAATCTGCAAACTTGATTTTGTATTACATACTCTGAATTATATTTAATTAATCTTTACAATACATACTGTATTATGTGTATAATATGCCGTATAACGGATCGTTTAATTCCATATCATTAAATTGACATTGTATTCAAGTTTGGTTTTAAAGGTTACCATGAAGGGTTTCATGTACTCTTTATGTACATTCTTTCTGTATGTAATAACGAATATTTATGTAACACATTCGATATATTAATCTTCGGTAGACAAAGGATAATAAATACTCTTTACAAAGATGATCTTTGTTTGAATGATAAACAAAATATTATTAAAGAACAAAGAAGAAATATTGAGTAATAAATTTTTCGTAATATAACAAAAACGAATGAGATAAAATGTAATATGATTATATCCATATAAATAAAATATCCTCATTTTTTCCTTTTTTTTTTTTTTCATTCACTCTCAATCCGTAAGTTTATATTTTTTAAAAACTTCCTTTGACAATGTGTTTTCTTGGGTCCACCACCTATTTGGATTAAATACAAAGTTTCTTACTAATTATTAGCGCCGGGTGCGTGTAGAACAAAAAAAAAAAAATAGAATATAAATATAAACATTTTATTTTAACGAACACTCTTCTTTCCGAAAAAAACCAACAATTAAATATTATACTTATATATATACAATATATATATATAATTACTCTCCTTCCTTCCTTATTATACAATCCGTTTTAAAAAAATGTTTGCGAGAGATGCTATATTTCCTAATCAAAGACATGAACCCTGGTGGTTTCGTTTATTACGAAGGACATCAGCTATAATACTTGTTCTTGCAGTAATAGCATATGGTTATGTTCAATTATTAAACTTAGTAAGCTTTGTTAAATCCCCAAATATTGTTACTTTAGAATCTAAAAAAGGTGGAGGTTTTCCTGGTAAGTAGATTAATTATTATTAAATATCGGTATAATAATAATAAATTAATTAAATTTCTTTATTATTTTTTAATAATAAATAGGTTTCGTAATATGTCCTGGTTCATTAAGTCCTGCTTTCATAAATAAATTAAATAGTACGGAAATACCACAAGCGGAACCACAATTTTCAATAACATGCGGGAAATCCAAAAAGGTGGGACCCGAAATATTATCAGAAAACATGAATTATACGGATTCAAAGTGCAGTTCTTCAATTTTATCAGAAGAAAATGGTTGTTTAAGAATCCCTGCTGAAAATATAGCAGTATATGAAGAAGATAGTAATTTTAGTTATGATAATGCTAATTATAATGGTAATAATGAAGATATTGAAGATAATGAAGATAATATAGATAATGCAAATATTGATGATTCATTTCAAGATCCAAAAGTTTCATCAAATGGATTAAATAGAACATTTATATTTTATAATATTAAACCAAATATTCCTCCAATTGAAGAGGATACTTTATCATCCATTGATTTACCAAATTTTTATACTGTATATTTTGATGATCTTCAAACTGTTGAACATGGACGTTTTACTATTGGTTCTCCTGATACTAAATTCGTTGAATATAATAGTGTTCCAATAATTAAAGGTCAACGAAATATATTGGAGTATTCAATTTTAATTCATAGAGTTTTTAGTACTAATTTAATGGGTCAATTAGATATTCGTCCAGATGTATTTTCAATGGAATTTAAAGTTGATACTCGTTTAATACCATTAAAAAGACAATCATCAGATGAGACTCAACTTGTAATAGTACCAAAAAATCCTCATTATTTTCGTACAGAAATTGAAAAGTATGAATATCAAACCATATCTCTTGTTTCTAATTTGGGTGGTTTTTACGGTTTTATTGTAACCGTTTATATAGCATTATTTGGTATGTCAAAAGTTGAACCTTGGGGTATACTTCAAAAAATTATATTTAGATGTTGGAATTGTCGTAGAAGTTTTAAACAACATTTAGCTGATAAATATGTTTCTTCTGCTGGTATCCCATTTGGTGAAAATGTTAGTGATCGTCCTGAAGGAACAAGTTTGGAAGATCGTTTACAAATCTTAGAATATTTATTAAAAGATTATTACCTTGATACTTATTATTTAGATAAATTAAAATTAACAAAAATGTTATATCATAAAAAAGCAGGCCGTTACTCTGAATTAGAAACATTAATAGATACAAGAAATAAAGCGATAGAAAATAAGGAGAGAATAGATGGACAAGATGAAGAGGATTATGCAAAGGAACGACAGCATAAACGTACTGTTAAAAGATGGAGTAATTGGTCAAGAAAATTTGGTTTTAGCAGTAAACCTCCTAAAAATACTGATGATAATTTAGGTATGAATTCAGTTGATTCAGTTACTTCATCGGTCCCTTCTCCGAAAAAATCTCGTTGGAGTAATTTGAGTATTTTGAATTATTTGCCTGGCTTTGAAATTATTGATACTATTGATGAAGAAATTGGTATACCTTCTACAAGTACGCAGAATACAAGTACTACAAATACTACTCCTACCACAAATCCTTCTTCTATAACAGACTTCACTTCCACTACAATCACTAAACCCAGACCATTTAGATGTGTTGTCAATGAATCTCGCGATTCCCAAGATACTTTGGTTGAAATTAAAGTCGATAAAAGACAAGTTTACTTTTGAGGATTTCAAGAGTAATATTCATTAATTGTTTAATTATGTATTATATCTATCTTAATTTGCATTATAAATAGAAAACACATTCCTTTTGCTATATACATCAAAATCTTTCTCCTTAAAAATAATGTACAGTAGCATTTAATTTGCATTTAGACATTTTCACCTTTGTTTATATTTATTTAGTTATTATATATTATTATTCGTTTTAGAAAAAAGTAGACAATATTTAATCAATTTTTAAAAAAAAAACAAAAAAAAAAAAGAATTGAGTTCACGCTCAAAAAAATACTTATAATAAATTATAACGAAATTAATTTTCGTGTCTGCATATTTATTTTGGAAAATATTTTTTTTACGTTATAACTTTGAATTGTAAAGTGGTCTTATAATATACGTGTACTGTATATTTCACATTACATCACATCCAAGTAAAATAAAACGTTCGATATGCTTCTTCACGAAAGTAGAATAAATTTAATATTGTAAATTGTTGTTTTCGTATTTTCGTATTGTATTGGAGTGAGACCCGAATACGATCCATAAACCAAGTATAACGAGGAAGTGTTAAGTAGTTTCTTTCATCTACAGGATGTGCCAAACTGGGATTATTCTCTATCGGGGTCTTGGGTTGAATATTGCCAAGTACCAAGTTGAAGGAGTGTTAGGTGAATCTCTACTCGTGTTACATATCTAAATAATTATGCATGCTAGATTCAAAATTTATCATCTATTGGTGTATTAGTGTAATTCTTAACTGAAGTTACAGAACTACATTAACATGCTTAAACATTTCATCAAAATCCTATAATAATTATTCAAAAAAGTGTTATTTTATATTATATTTAGTATTTTCTATATATTGTATTTATACATTTTTTTTAAAAAAAGTATATGGTGCCGGAAGTCTATACTTGACAATCACGTGATTTTGCTTCAATTTTTTTGAGATGATCTACATCATGTGATCTGAATTTCAGCCAATAAAAAACTGGGATTTCTTGTTTTCTTGTGAAAAGTACTAACAAAATGCAGTTTTTGAAAATTTTTTATTACAAACAAAATAAAACATAAGAAAAAGTGGATTTCAGCAATAAAAATGCAACTACCATTTTATAAAGTCATACATTGATAAAATTTTTTTTTTAAAAAAAAAATTACAATTTGAATTCAGATTATAATAATTTTGACTGGCATTATTATAAATTATAATGCATAAAGAGCCTGCATAAGTTTTCAATGCATTTGTTTCAAATTTAGGCTGATCATATGAAAATCTAACTAATCTTGCCAGCATGAAAATGGAGGTGTTAATAAAAAAGTATAATAAAGCTTATGCATTATATCATACTAGGGAAGCAAATTCAGGACAAAAGATTGAATACAAAATCTGACCAATAATTTGATAGAGTTTACTTCAAAGAATAAAGTTACCAATTTATTTTTTCTAAATTGTATTTTTTTTAAGGAGTTAAAAGATTTTAAGTGTTATATTTTTATTGTCAAATATAGATTTTTAGTATAATACTTTATGTATTTTACATAAAATATTTTTTTAAAAGTCACTCAAATATACTAAATAAGTATTATTATTATTTATACATTTTTACTATACATTAATTTAAATTTTAAGAAATAAATATAATCAGTTATAACTAGATATGTAAAGATAATATTTAAGAAATAACTTTATATAAAGTCTTCTCCATTTGAATATAATTCAATATTTTTTATACATCTTAAAAAGTGAAATCATATGATTACCTTTAAGATCAAAAGTTAGAAGAAATATACAACAGTTACTATATTTATTGACTTCAATGAGTGGGCAATGAGCTTATAGAATCAAGAAATTTGAACCGCTTTTTTAGGAGGTTTACCTGTCTATTGGTACTCAACTAATTAGAATTTTTAACAATATAAAGAAAGACAGGTTGTGATTAAAGATATATTTAAAATTGTAACCACTTCAATACTTTATCTTCAGATCCTTTCTAATTATTAATATTCTATACAAGATGCAAAACTTTTAAGATAGTTCAAGAAAAGAATATCTACAAATTAATCATATACTATGAAAATTAGACTGATTTGAATAAAATCACCAGTACAATGATTAACTTTGTCAGAATTTAAAGGTGTTTAGAATTGGTATTTCTTTATAACTATTTAAAGATTGTGTTCAACTAATAAGAAATGGCTGTAATCAGAAACTTAATTAAAATTTAGCTTATAAAGATGATGTTACCAAAATTTTTGCTTAAGATAAAATTAATTAAAATTATTGTTAGGGTTACCCATGAAAATAGTTAAAGATTGAACAAGTCACATGATGTAGTATGCAGAAATATTATAATTATAACTGAGTTTATTACAATATAAAATATTTCTTATAATATATTTTAGTTTTATTAATCACTTTTAGTATTATTATTGCTTTTGACTCATAAATATTCAATTATAAGTATCAGTTTAATTATTATAACATTAGTAAAATTGCTTTATTAGTTAGTTAGAGAAATTTACATAGTTAATGAATTATATAGACATGTAAACTTATACAAAATGGTAATAAAAAGGTTTTTACAGATAATTACGATAAGAAAAGGATAATTGATTGATTAATTAAATTCATACAATAGGATAATATTGATAAGTTCAAACTGTCATATATGAAAATGTAAACATATATAAGGCAATATTTTCTTTGAATAAAAGTTGTTAACATCTGAATAGATCTAACAAAGAGTTTTTTTTTTTGTTGTCTGCAGCACATTTAATACTTTATTAAGATCAAATCAAATAAATACAATACATGCTATATAATATAAAAGAAAAAGTCCTAATATAAATAAGTAATAAACTACTTGCTATTTCCTGTTAGAGAATCATATATGTACTATTAGTAAAGGATTTAAACTAGAGGAATAAGTTCTGCTTGAAATAGTCCTTTCTTAGAGGAGCCCTCTCCTTCTAGTCTACATCATAAGTGTCTCTAAAAACTTACTGAACCTGTAAAATGAAATTTAGAATTGTAAAAAAAAACAAAAAAAGTGGTAAAACAACAAATTCAGATAAAACAATAAATAAAAAAAGGGAAAAAATTAATAAAAATCAATATTCTTTGAATATGAAGTATTATTATAATGTTTCATTAACTTTACTTATAACTTACAAAGATTGAGCAGTTATTCTATCAGTTTTCCAATCTTCTAAGTAGGGCTTTAATTTCTATTAACAAAGTAAGTTTGCCAGTACTACTACTGCCTAAGTCTTTTTTTTATCAATTTAGAAGTCTTTAATACTTGTTTCTTTTCAAAAAACTTATTCTCTTTATTTTTATTACTCAAAGTTTTTTATCCATTATTATTACTGATTTGATAACTAATATCAAAGATATCAAACTGATCAGTCAGTTGTGGCAAAAAAGTCAAATAATAAGTTTATAGGTGTTTCAATAATTTGTGACAAAATATAGAACAATAAAAAATTAATAATAAAAGTATAATTCTAGTAAATAATGTAAGGGTTTCTTAAGAATAAAAATCTATCAAACAAATAATGACAAACATAAAAGTAAAACAAGTAAAACATGCGAAAAGTATACTGTAAATAATTAATTTTATAAATATTGGAAATTTCTACTTTTTAGTTTTTTTTCTTTTTAAGTAATAGATTTTATCAAATTTTAGATAAAAAAAAGAAAAATAAAATAAGATTATTTTATAGTTTTAACAATTAATATTTGGATATTGCTATGGTAATGATCACTACCAGTGAATTTACCACTTAATTCTGGTCAAAAATTACAATTTAGCCAGAGTTTAAATGCCAGTTTATAATTTTAACTAGAGTTAGAAACTGATTACAAAAATTTTAAATACCAGTAATACAAATATTAATAATTTAATGTTAATTATGATAAAATTTTGAAATTTTTATTAAAAAAACATTTTTGTAAAGTGAAAAAAATTAAAAATCAAAGTTAAAAAATCAAAAATTTGTAATTATATCTATTACTATAAAACAATAACCGTAATGTTTTAAATGTTTTTGTATTGTGTTACCTGTGTTACCTATTACAAGTATATAATTACTCTTATTATACAAACCGTTTTTTAAAAAAATGTTTGCTGTTATATTTCCTAATCAAAGACACGAACCCTGGTGGTTTTATTACGAAGAACATCAGCTATAATACTTGTTCTTGCAGTAATAGCATATGGGTATGTTCAATTATTAAACTTAGTAAGCTTTGTTAAATCCCCAAATATTGTTAATTTAGAATCTAAAAAAGGTGGAGGTTTTCCTGGTAAGTATATTAATTATTATTAAATATCGGTATAATAATAATAATAATATATAAATTAATTAAATTTCTTTATTATTGTAATAATAGGATTCGTAGTTTGTCCTGGTGCCTTAAGTCCTGCTTTCATAAATAAATTAAATAATACGGAAGTACCACAAGCGGAACCACAATTTTCAATAACATGTGGGAGATACAAAAAGATGGGACCCGAAATATTATCAGAAATCATGGATTCAAAGTGCAGTTCTCTCATTTTACCAGAAGAAGATGGTTGTTTAAAAATCCCTGCTGAAGATATAACCGTATATGAAGAAGTTAGTTGTAGTTATGATAATGCTAATTATAATGGTAATAATGAGGATAATGCAAATATTAATGATTCATTTCAAGATCCAAAAGTTTCATCATATGGATTAAATAGAACATTTATATTTTATAATATTAAACCGAACATTTCTCCCATTTAAGAAGATACATTATCATCCTTTGATTTACCAAATTATTATACTGTATATTTTGATGATCTTCAAACTGTTGAACATGAACGTTTGTTCTCTTGAAACTAAATTCGTTGAATATAATAGTGTTCCAATAATTACAGGTAATTGAATATTCAATTTTAATTCATAGAGTTTTTAGTACTAATTTAATGGGTCAATTAGATATACGTCCAGATGTATTTTCGATGGAAATTAAAGTTGATACTTGTTCAATACCATTAAGAAGACAATCATCGGATGAGACTCAACTTGTAATAGTACCAAAAAATTCTCATTATTTTCGTACAGAAATTGAAAAGTATGAATATCAAACCATATCTCTTGTTTCTAATTTGGGTGGGTTTTACGGTTTTATTGTAACCGTTTATATAGCATTATTTGGTATGTCAAAAGTTGAACTTTGGGTATACTTCAAAAAATTATATTTAGATGTTGGAATTGTCGTAGAAGTTTTAAACAACATTTAGCTGATAAATATGTTCTTCTGCTGGTATCCCATTTGGTAAAAATGTTAGTGATCGTCCTGAAGGAACAAGTTTGGAAGATCGTTTACAAATCTTAGAATATTTATTAAAAGATTATTATCTTGATACTTATTATTTAGATAAATTAAAATTAACAAAAGTGTTAAAAAAGAAGGTCGTTACTCTGAATTAGAAACGTTAATAGATACAAGAAAATAAAGCGATAGAAAATAAGGAGAGAATAGATGGACAAGGTGAAGAGATTATTTAAAGGAACGAGAACGTAAACGTACTGTTAAAAGATGGAGTAATTGGTCAAGAAAATTTGGTTTTAGCAGTAAACCTCCTAAAAATACTGATGATAATGTAGGTATGAATTCAGTTGATTCAGTTACTTCATCGATCCCTTCTCCGAAAAAATCTCGTTGGAGTGATTTGAGTATTATGAATTATTTTACTACTATTGATACTATTGATGAAGAAATTGGTATACCTTCTACAAGTACGCAGAGTACAAGTACTACAAATACTACTCCTACCACAAATCCTACTTCTATAACAGACTTCACTTCCACTACAATCACTAAACCCAGACCATTTAGATTTGTTGTCAATGATTGTCGTGATTCCCAGGATACTTTGGTTGAAATTATTAAGGTTGATAAAAGACAAGTTTACTTTTGAGGATTTCAAAATAATGTACAGTAGCATTTAATTTGCATTTTAGACATTTTCACTTTTGTTTATATTTATTTAGTTATTATATATTATTATTCGCTTTTTTACGAGAAAAAAGTTGACAATATTTAATCAATTTTTTTAAAAAAACAAAAAAAAGAATTGAGTTCACGCTCTTAAAAAAAAATACTTATAATAAATTATAACGAAATTAATTTTCGTGTCTGCTATTTATTTTGGAAAATAATTTTTTTACGTTATATAAACTTTGAATTGTAAAGTGGTCTTATAATATACGTGTACTGTATATTTCACATTACATCACATCCAAGTAAAATAAAACGTTCGATATGCTTCTTCACGACTATCCAAATTATTTTGGATGTTATAAATATAATTTGAAATGCTATAAATCATTCAATTTACTATATAGTTTACTGTCAAAAAATTTGAGATGCTATAATTGAATTTGGAATTTTGGTATTTATAAGGAGGTATTTTTATATAAAGGATGATTATATGGAGGTCTGACTGAATTACAGCAGTTCAAAATAATTTAAGCAGTATATATAATTAAAAAAATTAAAAAAATTACAGTGAATTGTTTATTTTTTTTATTAATTTTATATAATAACAAAAAAAAATAAAGATTATATATATTGATTATTAATCCTATATTGATTTAGTTCTAATTATTTATTTATATTTTTTGTATTTTTTAAATACACAAATTATTTATAATCCTAAATAAAAAACAATTAAATATATACAAATATTTTAAATAATTTAAATAAATCTTAAAAAGGAATTTATAATGTCTTTTATAAATAAATTTCTAAATCTTAATATTTAGAAATTGAAAAATAGAAAAATGTAATGTTATTCTACTAATGTTTGCATTATTATTAATATGCAATAAATTATAAATCAATTCTATATGTAATTAAAAATAATATATGAAATAAATTACATATATGTTTCCTTTTTTATACTATTCAATTTTAATCTTATTATTTACATTAAAGAATAGCTGGAGCTTTTCTTTGTCCTTGGTACGCAATCCATCTGTCAGGTACCATAAGAAAATACCTAGCAAAAAATAAATAAATAAATAAATATTATATAACTCTAATTCCAAATAATTATAAAAATATTTACCTATCCATGGCTTCTCTAAATCTATTTTTATACTGACGTGGTGATACAATTGTAGGTTCTTTTCCACCACCGCCCAAAAAACCTGTTTCCTTTACCCAACTCTCCAATTTTTTATCCAATGTAAATGTTCGAATAAAATCTGAAAAATAAAAAGTTAGTATTGATTATAATTAATAATAGGTATTAAAAAATATTAATATATATATTTTAATATATACCAACTATTCCAACAATTAATTCCTGTTTTTCTTCATCAAATCCTACTAATAAGGAATAGTCCATAACATTATGTCTACCTAAGAAAAGTGTATCATTGAATAGTGATTCAGTTAAGAGTTTTTTGGAATGTTCTCGTAAATAAAGAGGTTTCTCATTCATTACTAAAGAATAAAAAGGTTTATTAATTAATGATTATAAATTACCAATGAGAAATTAAAACATATAATATAATTTTTACATTCAAGTAAATTTTCATCCAATAAGACTTCATTTTGTTTCCCAGTACTTTGAACATGTCGATTACGCATAGAACCTTTCAAGTCAAAAATCTAGTGCCAAAAACAGTTAAAATTAAACTTGCACTAATTATTATATAAAGAAATTCAATCGTATCTTACCTTTGATACTTTGCGTTCGTAGAAAAGATTTTCCATCACAATAACATCTATTTTCATACTCTTTCCTGAGTGTTCGTTCCTAAAGCCGATACGATAAAAACCAAATATTTTTGCTAATACTGTTGGTAACTATAAATGCAAATAATTATATTAGAATTTGTGCAAAGGACGGATAAACAAAATAAAAAACATTTACAGTGACTAAAGCTCTTGACATATATTCGAAATATTTTGGAGCAAATTTCAAGAATGCATCAACTTCATTACGAGACATTTGTTTCATAACCAATCGATCATCTAAGGGAAATGGAAAATTTTGGTTGAGTAAATAAGTATTACTACTTTTTAATTATTCTTTTTAACATATAAAGTACCTCGAGTTTTTAGAAAAGCTGATCCAGATTTGCCCCCAGATGAATCCCATTTTACACATCGTGCTAGTGATTGTATATAAGTATGTCCACAACCACAACTACGCCTGAGATTATCAAATTGTTCAGCACAAAATATCTTACAGAAAAATTGCGTTGAATCACCCAAAAATTCTACAAATCGGGTTAAAAATTGTTTTAATCAAGAAGAATAATAACTAATAGACTAATCATTTAACTTACGATATTTCATGTGTGAGATGGGGCTATCCTCAACATCACCACCTTCTTCAGAATCTAACATAGTCCAATTAGAACTTTTAATAGTTCCATACCGATCATCTTCCGGCATAAAAGCAACTTCGGCATTATGATTTGATTGTTGCATAGTTTTTAATTCCTCAAGGTATTCATTAGAACTTTTATTTGAAAATTTTATTAACAATAGACATATATAAAATAAATCTAGAATTAAGCAAGATAACATACTTTAATGCAAAGGCAATTATTGAACTAGGTTCATCTTCTCTCACAATGATTGGAGAATCAGGAAAGACGTGCTCGGTAGAATTTCTACATGAGATAAATGTTTTATTAAGTTTAGCAACGAAATAAGCGCAAAAAAAAAGAATAGAATATCATTATTCTTACAAGGGATAATCCAAGGGTTTTAAATTCTTCTTGTCTGTCCAGAAGTTTGTAAGTGATCTAATCACTTTATTTCCTTGATAATCAGGAAGTAAATACTTTTTAGTAGAATTTTCCGCTACTGGGGCAATTGGTTCAGTAAATTCTTGACCTAAAAATGTCAATGCTGAGTGATAAATATATGATTCATTCGACGAGTTACGACCCAACATTGGAAAATTTTCTTCATTTCCAAGTGATTCATCGAATTCATCCGTACTATTTAAAGAAAATATGCGGATTTCTTCATTTTCTTGATTGTAATTATTTTCTTCTCTTCCTTCAAACTCCTCATCAGATTCCTCTGCTGCAGCTTCCCTATTGTTAAAAACTTCGATTTTTGATTTTGTTGAGATAACCTTAGGCTTGCGTTTTGGCTTGTGAAGAGTAGGAAATTTACGGTTCCTACTTTCAATACTCTCAACTGGAGTTGTTCTTGGAATAATACGCCTTCTAGATGTAGAAGGAACATTCAGGGTTTTACTTGATTTTAAAGGACGTTCAAGTTTATTAGATGGTCGAGGCTCTTTTTCTTTTTCCTTTTCTGATACATGTGATAAACGTATTCGAGGTGATGATGAATGAATAGGTGTACGATAATTATTTTGAGTCCCAGAATCATTTGGATTTTCAAATGAAGGAAATCCATGCGAGGAAGGTAACTTTATTGGTTTAATAGTTGATGGTATTATAATTGGTATCTCTGGTTCAGTCGTAAGTTCGGAAGTTGAACATTCTTCTTGTTTATCCGTTATTATTGGAAATAAAGAATCAGTAGTTACTCGAGTCGCTGATCTTGGTCTTTGCCCTTCTTTGGATTCTTTCATCCATTTCATAGACAATCTTCTTGAAACCTTAGGATCCATAAAAGGAAACAATGACATTTGTGAAGCATTCTCGATCTCTTTTTCTAAACTTTCAATTTCTCCCTCATGATAAAATTCAATATCCTTTAATTCATTAAGAATAGCATCAGCGGTTGGTGAACTGCCTAATTTAGGAAGTATGGTAGGTCCAATAACTTCATCTTCTATTCTCGCAGTATTTAAATCATCATCAAGGTCCATATTAATTAAAGGCAAATCATTCAAATGTGATCCGGAATGTCCCCTTCCTAAAGTTATCGCATCATGATTGTCCAAAAAAAAACGTTTTATCTGTCTTGCAGTTAAACGAGGGAAATATTGTCTGGCAATATCATTGAAATCCTTATCCCAAATCAAAACTTTCTCTTGTAACAAATAGATAACATTGTTTAATGCCAAAGTATCATCAGGTGTGCTGTTTACATACGTTTGTTGAAGTTTCGTAAGCATATTCTTTTTCTCTGTGACTACTCGACGAGACATTTCAAGTAAATCTTGCTTACATCCTTCAACTTTGTCTTCTTGAACAATATCATAATTAAAACTTTTAATGCGATCTGTCACAGAATCCCAATAATTTGTGATTTTTTGACGAATTGTATCAAGATCGTGATTTTTCAATTTTATATGAACTTCAGGCTTAGTATAAAGTTGCATGGGAGGAACGTATACTTCTAAAAGCTCAATTGATTCATATTCAAATTTAACGGTTAAATTATTAAAACCAAAGTACCAAAGATGATCTTGAAAAATAGCATGTGTACAACCTTCCATTTTACTTTTTAATTCAGTTTGGTAAAATGATAGTTCCAAATATTTACCAAAAGAATATTTCCAAGTATTTTCAGTCATTTGAGTACACTGCGTTGCTTTCTCACATTTTTTACAATAACTCCACATTAAAATGTTATGTTCCATGTTTTGAACTGGACAAGAATATTTCTCGATTGTAACAGTTATACGTGCGTTACCATGACAAAAACTATGGACATGCATTATTAATGGTCTATCACATGTACGACAGAGATATGTTGATCTTGAACAAATTTCCTCAATATATTTTCCTAACGTTCGATCAGAATCTCTGTAGTATTCCATTACCAATGTATCTGGTCCAATGCACGGCGTTTCAATAGTTACCGTACAAAATTTAGAAGATAATACAGTAATGTTTTGATGAGCATAAGGACTAACAACCTTATTATATGCATAATTCTCCCATGCACGCTTCTGATTATCATAGTCATTAATAGCTTCTTCAAATTCGCCATCGGCACAAACTTGTTCAGGAGTACGCAAAATGCCTGAAAGAACACCAACTGCAGATGACAATGATGAGTGCGATTTCTCGCCATCTTTAAATGATCCAGAAGGCCATCCGGTTCGCTTTTGTCTTAATTCTGTAAGTCTACGTTCTGCTTGCCTCATTCTTAAAAGCAAGTAAGGGGCTGAAAATTTGACAAACGGTGATACAGACAAAATGGTGGTCTCATAAGGCATATCATCCGTTGTCTGAGCATTATTAATACCATTATCTGTCATATCTGACATAATCTTTTCATAATAATCTATTACTTTATCTTCTGGTATTATAGAAGGAGTCTTGGCAAATTGACTTGCTATTAGAGCAGTCTCCAATTTGAGATTATATACAACAAATACCATAAGATCCGTTATTCGTTTTATTTTCCCAAGAGTACTTACATCACCTCCCCTTAAAACAATAGTACACCCAAGTTCACGCGGACAATTCTCGAAAAATAAATATGTCCTCCTTCTATTTGGAATAAGTTGATGGACAAAAGTTTTTACAGAAAAAGTACCGCATTTTCCTAATTTAGGTTCTAATGCTAATTTATCAATTGAAGGAATAACATCAGCTCTTGTACAGCGCGCAACTGCTTCAATAACTGAAGATTTGACATTAAGAGCAACAGCTATATTTTTTTCTAATAAAAATTGTAATGCCAATCTAGCAACGGTTTTTTCGACCAAAACTAACTGTGGGCGATATGCAGCAATACGATCTACTAAAATTTTCAAATGTTGTTCTTCTTGATCCATTACTGGTTGTATTGACATTAGTTGATTTTCAATTCTATGATATTCTAATGCAAATGTTAGAATGAGTACACGAGGGTTGTCAAGCGTTCGTCTCATTTTTTTATGTGCTAAATTCTTTGTACATACAACTCCATGCACATACTCTGAATCTTGAGGAACTCCCCCAGGTATTTTTTTAATCTTTACATAGTGACGAATATCGATTTCATCACCATTACGAATATTTGGGTTTAAGTTATCAGAAACTTTCATCATTAATTTCATTATAACATCCTCCCAACCATCAGATAGATTAATTTTAGACTCCAGAAGACATTGACGTAATAACCTTCTCATATGATCAAGAGAAGCAGGATTAATTTCTGGTTTTATTGGCACAGAAGGTGATCTCGAATGACAAGTACTAAATGGTGACGATGGTCTTTGCTCTATTGGAGAAGGTACAATCGAAATATCACTTGGTAGCATAATATTAGTGTTAATTTGTCTAAGCAAACCGCTTCTCCTATTGACTCGATTCGGTCTTGTAATGCTTCTTCGCCTTGATGATGAATTTTTAACGAAATGAGCACGAATATCTTCCGCTCTTTGTCCCTTTTGAAATGGTTTAATCCCGTGTGAAGTTTTAACACTATACTCTGATTCGTCATCACTACCAGCATATTCTGATACTGCTGGCGTTGGAGTAGCTGATTCACCATTTGCATGTGAAAATGTTAGAACGTTTTGCGAAAAATCATAATTTCCATCGTCGTCTTCGTCACTCATAAAAGGAGCGATTTCTGGATCTAAAATAGCTTCGGGATTTACTGCCGGTGTAACTTTATCCTCCTCAGTAAGACTACGCCTAAAAGGAGCAGGAGATGATGTACCGTTGTCTTCTACTGTTATAGTATTTGACCTTGATCTTGCCATGAAAAATGAAGAACCAGCGGATAACATCTTTTTTATACCATCATTCAATGAAAGTCTGTCTGGAGAGGGGGCACGGGGTATTGGTTGGTTTTGTAACAGTCCATAAGGATTTGGACTTGGCATTGTGTATTGAATCTCTGGGGTCAACATATTTGTCGAAATGATATTATGATTATCTGGTAATAAGGATGAATTATGGATCTGTCTTTGAGTTACGGAATTATTGAAATCATTTTTCTCTGACATTCCTTGTCCATTATTTACCCCAAAATCTTCACCATATTCTCTCATCATAAACTTAAGACAGAAATTGCAAACACGCATCAACCCTTCATGACTAAAATTTCCACCAGGAATCAAATTTGATGCACATTTTGAACAAAAAATCTGACCTTTTCGTAGTACATTAATTTTTAGTGTTAGTAAAGCATTAAATGTTTATAAATATAGAAAATTTAATAATTACCACAAATACGACAGTGGTGCTTTCTTCGAAGCATTGTAAATGTTGCTTTACAATCATAACATTCTCTACAAGTGTCATCAGCCATCCAATAATCTTTATTAACTCCCTCACCACGCAATCTTCGAATAACCTTACTATAATAACTATTTCCAATCGATGATGCAATAGTTTGTACTGAACTAATTGATCTTGTATCTGAAACGTCTTTTGTACGGTGTTGAAGTAAATAATGTCCATCATTATTTTGATGTTGAGCATTTCCTGCTATACTATTTTCATTCCCGTTAATGTTTGTGTGTTCTTGAGCACTAATCTCAGGCTCCGGCGGGGTATTACCAGAAGAAGATTCTAAAGAAACAACGGAAGGAGCAGGTTCAAATCCTTTATTTTCTTTGTCAGGTAGCGGGACTTTGGAATTTAGAGGTTTAAAATTAGACGTTTGAGGAAGAGAATTTAGTGAACTATTTTCTAAAATCTCAGAGGAATTTGTGGTGTTCGACGAAAGTACTGAAACAGAATTTACTGAAACAGAATTTGTCGACGAAGTACTAAACGAACTCTTTACACGCTGAAATAATTTAGAAATTACGTTTTCGTTATCTTGTTCAAAAGGTCTTTCAAACTCAAAACTTGTTAGTGTTGCAATATCAGTATCAAGAGTATTATTACTCGGCCAGGTAGACATTTTATTATTAAATTAAATAGTTTGAATTGACCCGCAATCAAAAGAAAAAAAATTTTTTTGATTAATTTAAATATTTACAAAAATATAGAAGTGAATTGTAGTAAACTCTATGCGATCCGAGAATCATGTAAGATCAGCTGAAATACCTTAAATTGTTAACCTTACGGACAATCATATCATGTTTTTCCGAAAGAATTTCCGAATTATCCGGAAAACTGCTAGATGGGATTGATAATCAATTTCGATTTTAACATTATGGGTATTAAATTTCGTTTTTTTGATCGGTTATTAAAAAAGTCGATAACTTCAAAAATAGCTTGTGTAGCATTTAAATGCTTATATATTTAAGTACAACATGATCTTCTGCATGGCTGTACTTTCTAAGCATTGTATAGGTGATAGATGTCATATTTGATTTAAGTTGCATAATATAAATTAGTATTCTAAGTGTCTTGCTGCAATGATGAATGATGATGTTAACAGCTATGTTAACCAGTGTTTAAATATCGATTTGTCTATTTTTCCCATAGCAAAACTTTTAATTTACCTTTATAACTTAAAATGCAAGAATTAGAAAAGTATCGCAAAGATTCACGTTATAAAAAATATGTACAGCAGGTAGAGAGAATACTACAATCCTTTGATAGGGAGGTCAATGAATGGGCCGATTTCATAGCTTTCTTGGGAAAGCTTTTAAAGGTAATTAAAACTTGAATTAACGCACCTTCTCGATTGTAGCTTTTTATTTTTCGTCCCGTTCACTCTACTATTAAACTTTTTTTAGGCATTTCAAGCTTATCCCCAATTTCCCGTAATACCTAAAAAGTTAATTGTCGGTAAAAGACTAGCACAATCATTAAATCCAGCATTACCACCTGGTGTGCATCAAAAAGCATTAGAAGTTTACGGTTATATTTTTGATAGTATTGGAGTAAGTTGATCTGTTTTAATTTGAGTGCTCCGTAAATCTGATAAAATTTGATCTTTGGATGCAAAGAAATTAATAACATTAATGAATAGATCGAACAATTAGCAGACGATTTACCTATTTATTGTCAAGGATTATTTCCTTTCCTTCAATATGCTGCCATGAATGTCAAAGTAAGTTGAATTGTCATATTGTAATGTGATATTGAATTTGTTAAAATATTATATTAATTTTGTTTAATTTAATGATTTAGCCCCAATTATTAGCTTTATATGAAAAATTCTTTCCTTTACGAGATCGATTAAGACCTGTGATGAAAGCATTTATATCAGCTTTATTACCTGGCCTAGAAGAAGAAGGAGGCGAATTTTTTGATAAAGTAAGTTGTTTATTGTTTTTATTTTATACGAATTTATTATATCTTATCTTATTATTTGACTTTTTTAGGTTTTATCTCTTTTGGATTATCTATCTGGAATTGTAGAACAATCATATTTTCTGCAGAGTATGTGGCTTATATTGATAACATCACCAGCTTTACGGACTCCAGCATTAAATTATTTATCTCGACGAATGCCAAAGATTACATCTAAAGAAGGTTTTCTGTTTAAGAATGTTTATTTATGAATTCTCCATTATAGTTTTTGATTTGCAAAGCCATTCATAACTTTTTTTTATAAATTATATGTATCATCCTTTACGAATTTTGGATTTTCAAGATGTAGCAGTAATGTTGGGTGATGATATTGGAATTATGGTGCGAGCATTTTCAGCAACTTTGGAAGACGATCATGTTTTAGTTCAACGAGCTATTCTTGACTTATTAGTTATAAGCTTTCCTTTAAAAGTTAAAGATTTTGGAGAGTATGTGACTTGTATATATATTAGAATAATTCGTAATAGTAAACTTATATCATTCTATTTATTTTATTTTTACAAAGAATCATACAACAAGATGATCTTACGTTATTAATGAAATCTGCTTCGGCAGTTGTTTTACGGAAAGATATGTCTCTTAATCGAAGGCTTTATGCGTGGCTTTTAGGTCCCGATGAACATCTAGAGCAACAAATTGAACATTTTCATGAATATGGCAAAAGTGCCATTGTTTCTGCGTTGAGGGTATACAATTAATTTAATTATTCTAAAATATATAACTTAAGTAGGGTTATATAGGCTCGGTTTCATTATTTTATTATTATTATTATTATTATTATTATTATAATGCGGACGTGCGTGGCATAATTGAATTTATTAATATTTATTTCGTTATTATTTAAATATAGAGCTTGTTTTTTTTGGATACAAATGATTTAGCCACCGCACAACGGCCATATAAAATTTTGATATCTTTGATGGATAAATGGGAAATTGGACAACCTATAGTACAAGAAATACTTATTGACGTTTTATGGTCACTTAAAAATCACGTGGATAAATCCGAATTCGGTGTTGAAGTATGTCAATTTTTGATCATTTATTTACATGTGATTAGGTTTCTAAAATAATTTCTTTCATATAATTTAAAAAGTTACTACAAACAGCCAATATGTTTCTGGAAATGATTGAACCATATTTAATTTGGATGAAACTATATGGTCTTGTCCAAGATCGATTTTCTGCTCAGGATGGATTAGACACTTCGGTTAGCATTAACATCTATTAGAACACATTTAAGAGTGTATTTGATGTTAATATATTATTCATTACTCCAGGCGTTAGATTTGGTTGATTTCGTACTAAATTCTTTTCGAATGCACGAGGATGAGATCGAACAAATACATATGCCACTTTTTATGATCGCTTTACTTTGTAAACTTCAGGTGAACACTTCAGTATAAATTTTCTTTAAGTTCGAATAGCTTTCCTTAACCTTTATTTTCTTAATATTTTATAGATGTTTGCAATTGAAACAGATTTCAGCAATCGGATTTCACAAATAGAATCTGCCTTACTATTATCGTTGGATTTATTACAAAAAATTCCTAGTAATGTTTTTAGTTATTTTGAACCTTCAATTAGGGAAGAATCTCAAGAAAATACACAAGTTTCAAGCAAAGCATCTTCAACCAAATCTCAGTTAACTCATGTTGAAACGGATTCTGTAAATGAAGGGACTATGCAAATGTCACAATCAGGAGTTGAATTTTATACAGGAATGGATGCTTTGAAATATATAAATGATTGCTATCTCTATGGAAGTGAAAGATTGAGTGAAAATATTGTAAATAAGCAGTTCAACGGTATTCGGGGACGACATTTAATCGAAGAATTACTGAATGCTGTTCAAGGATTCTTGCACAACGTAATCACCAAAGCTATTCTCGTCAAAAATGAGAACATTACTTCCGATCAACTGGTTGTTATTATGGATCGCAGCTGTGGTCTTTTAAAAGCAATTTCAATGCGACTTCATTCATTAGAAAACACTTTCGAAGATTATGAAGAATCAGTATCGAAATTATTCACTGGTGAATGGGTTTTTTCGCTATTGAAATGTTGTCACATGGTCAATAATTTCGAAATTATTAATTCTGCACTTTCGACCATTCTGCATATTATAATTGACCTGCGACTTATATCTCCTAGTCTTATTGACTCAAAACAACAAATTCGTGTAATTGTAGATACTTTGTGGTCATTTTTAGCACCTAATAAAGCGGCTTTACACTTACGAGCTGTTCAATTAATTTGGTGTTTAAAAGATTTATCTCAAGCAAACTACGTAGAAGCTGTAATTTCTGAGTATCTTATACAAAAAGATCCTTCTGCACGGTTATCTAACTTTGAACGATTTGGAACTTTTTGGAGACTCTCAGAGGATTTTAATGATACAGATTTACAGTTTTCGCAGCCAATGTTTTTGATGCTTGATAATTTACGTGATGAAAATCCGACTAATCGTCGTGCGGGCGAGACATGGTTACGATGTAATAAGAAATCGTACACGAGGATCTTGGAGCCAATTATAAAAATTCTCTGTGATTCCTCAATTACGAGACGAAAGGCTGAGATAATAATTGGTGTCGAAACATTTCAACTCCTTAATTATGAAAGACCATTTAATCAGGCTCAAGTTGATTATGTATTTGAGTCATTGTCAGCGATTTGTCGTGTTGGTGGAGATAGTTTTTTGAAAGCAATACGAAGAAACAATATAAAGCCTGATTTGGCAAAATCGTGTAATTGGCTTTTAGAGGAAGAGAATGAAGTCGTAAAGGCAATAACATATAGTGAATTTTTTGTTAAGACTTCTTTATTATATATGGAATCCGAAGTACCAAATACACTATCTTCTATGAATGTATTAAATGAATATATTCATATGCATGCAATGGACTTTCTTAATCATTTAATTTCAAAGCCTAAGTATGTCGACAATGATTTGGTTCATTTGGTACATGATGGATTATTGCGAAAAATTCTGTTCTGCATATATTCGAAGAAGTTAGATTTACAATCGAAACTTATACATTTGTTATGTGTTACCATTCCCAATGTAGGAGCTGTTAATGAAAGCTCCAAAAAAAATTCTGTTTATACTGATGCGTCTAGCCATGATAATTTATCATCAAATGAGGAACCAGATGCAAAAAAAAATATGAGAAGTTTCCGTACAGCAGGATCATCGCGTTCTTTGATTAAGGTTCTACGTGATGCCTTATCGATACATTCCAACCGTCCTCTCATGCAACAGTGGATGCATTTCATTGTGACATCTTTGCCCTATTTCAGATATTCATTTAATTCTATATTGGTTCCACTAATCCAATGTATTTGTGAACAATTAAGTCGGTGGAAAACCGAAATGTATAATCATTATAACAAAAGATCAGGTGATCTAACAATGTCTGAATGGGATATTATTACTTTACTTAATGGATTTGAGAAAGTAGTTATGTTTTGTTTAAAGGATGGAGGCTTGGCTAATGCAAGAGATAGCTCTTCAACTAGCTCCAAGGCATATGAATCATCCATTGGACTTGGTTTTGGTCTGTTTTCATCAGATACAAGTCATACCGAACAAACTTCGTCAGAACAAAAGGTAACGTAATTTTAAATTATCACTTATTATGATAAAAAAAACTTACTATTTTTATTTTTACAGCCTCGCGATTATATACTTTACTTTGTTTTTCCGGATATTGTTCCCATAATTTTAGATATATGGTCTCTCTTTACGAATGCTTACTCACCATATCGTCCATCTAAAGTTGGGACTGATCCATTTTCGATAACATTATCTAATACGAGAGATAGAACTCAAAGAAGAATCATGAAGCTTTTAGATAAATTACACAAAAATGCCCATGCAGAACTTATTGAGGCATTTGCAGAACTTTGGTATATTGAAAATCCCAACATTAATTCTAGTCAAGAGGTATAATATTAATTAAAAGTTTAATTCAATTATCTGAATTAATCATTTAATGATAACAAATTAATTTTATCATCTATTTAGATGCTAAACAAAGGTGTTGAAAATACCGCTATAGATGTAATGAAGGCAATTCCGGGTTTATCTCATCAAAAGGTCATTACTACTTTGTTGATTAGCGCTCGTGGGCGAGCGCAGGGTACACAAAATTCCCGCGTAAAAAAATCAGGATCTAAGGCAAACAAGATGTAAGTATATCGATTATATCCATTCGTTTTTAATAATTCAATAATTGCAAGTGAAACTTTATTATACTTTACAAACTTATTCTATTTTCATAGGTCCGATATTGTAATCCTGCGGTTTTTAGAAGTTTACTGCGATACTTTAGAACTTTCTCAACCTCTGATCGAGGTCTGGCCTCAATGTTTAGCATATGTTAAAGATTATATTGCACAAGCTTCATCGTACAAATATTTGTTTCCTGTACTTCTTAGGTATATATAATGAAATTATAGATCGTTTAATTGTAATATTATTTCTCATTTTCCACTTTTCAACCATCAGGTTTATTCATAAATTATCGGACAAGTTATGCTCTACAATTTATTTTGAAGATAAAAAAGTTCGACGAGACATGCAGGTACAAATAATATTAATTAATATTCATTTTCCCCAGATTTGTTACTCAATATATGTTGTTATCTTTATTAGGATGTATATCAACGTATTGTGGATTATTGCATATTGATCTCAGGTCGTTCATTTGACCAAGGAATATGGCTAAGGAGATCAGTAGTTATAGATGGTGAAGATGAAAGTGTAGAAGGTAACTACTATATTTTCAGGAGTATTTTATTTATATAATCTTTTTTTATTAAAGAATAACCCATTTACTAATTTGTAGTTACCAATGAAAGAGAATCAGAACTTGGAAGTTCATCTAATTTGATTTCGGATGATAAAAAGGTCATTTCAAAATCTAAGGAAGGAATTTTAATCGATCAAGTAAATAATGTTTATTTTTTATTTTACTTATATGCATCTGTTCGTTTTACGTTTACACATTGTGATTTTTATAAGGTAAACCATTACCTTGCTACAGTCGTGGTTCCAAATATTAAACGATTGTTAATTGATCAAGATCGAATTGTTTCTCTCTTTACGAATATGATGTATTATATAATTGTTCCTGTATTGAAAAATCGTTCTGGGTGAGTTTGTTGAAATTTCTCACTTCATATCAAAACAATGGATTATTGTTAATATTAAGTAATATTATTTATAGTACTGGCATATCAAATGTCATATTAAATATGATTTGTGAAATGTCTAAATTACCTTTTGCATACCGTGTTTGGCGTAAAGAAATATGGGATGTCTTTATTGATAATAGATTCTTTAATATGACACCTGGAGCTGCTAAAAAATGGCGCATTATAATGCAAACAATCATGACTTCAGAAAAGGAAAGATTCCCTGAATTATTAGGTATGTTCAATATATCTTCCTTAAAATTGTAGGCCTTAATGTTTAAGTAATTTAATTAATCTCTGTTTTTGAATACAGGACGTTTATCAACATCGCCCGCTAATGCATTATTTGTCAGTAAAGATCAAGAATCTTTAAATCGCGCACTAAACTTGCGACGTATTTCTTTTGTAATCTATTGTGGTAAAGAGAATCAATATTTACCATATCTTCCTTCTATACAAGAGAAATTGGTAGAGTTATTTAAATTGAGCTTATCTGAATTAGTTCATGCTGAGGTAAACATTTACAATTAAATATTTAAAATGTTAATGGTTTAAATAATAAAATATTGGTTTTTATAGATTTACTTGACTCTTCGAATATTAATGTGTCGAATTTCAAACCACCATTTATCAAATTTTTGGCCAGTTATTCTTACAGAACTAGTAAATATTCTTATTTACTTAATTCACATTTTTTTTTTAAGATTACTTATATTACTTTTATCTCTAACGATTATTAGGTTAGGCTGTTTGGGATGTTTCTTCAAAAAGAACCAATTGAACAACCATCTGAAGTTGTTAATGTGTTTTTAGCTACATGCAAATTTTTGGATTTATTATTTATTTTACAAACTAATGATTTTCAAGTGTAAGATATAAATTATTTTTAATTTAATTTTTGTAACTTCTAATGATTTTATATTTAATTACTAGTTACGAATGGATGTTTATATCCGATACAATTAACATTATTAATCATGCTCTTGAATGGTCTCCTTATGCATTAATGGATAAATTGGCAGATCATTTATCAGGTCATCAAGATGATTTATCAAAGGTAAAAATCAATTCAAATAAAACTTTTCAAACATGTATATATTCATTTCTAATATGATCTTATTTTTTAGCTTCATTTAGATAATATAGAAGTTAGAGCAGGATCACCATTATTACGAACTCCTACTTTTTCAAATGGTGAGTTTAAACGACCAATGTTAACATTGAAAAGTATTACTAGTGTTAGGCAATTAGAATTTTTTGTAAGAAATGTGAGCTTATATAATTATCAATATATTTATACTCTTGCAAAACCTGATTATCAATATATTGAAAGTTTACTAGAAAATGATATGATAGAATATGGTAGTATTTATAATAATGTTGAATTGGGAAGCATTGATGTTGGTAGTGGTGAAATTTTCACTTAAAAAAAAAAAAATTCTTTTAATTCTTTTGAACAATTTTTAATTTTAATATTTACTATATGTAAAATAGAACTAATTTTTAATAAATGTAATTTTATCAAAAGATGTTTATTTACTTTTAAATTAAATTTATTTAATTATAAAATACATTTTTATACCATTTGGTTCCTTTTATTAAGACAGTTTAAATAACTGTAATTTATTATAAAATATTAATCTTTATAATTTATGATTTTTAAATTATTTCCATTTTATAATATATAAAAATTTTATTAATTGGACTAATTTAAAATATTATTTTAGGATTTTATATATAATAAGATTTAGTAATTTATAATTAAATTTTAATTTATTAATCTTTGTAATGTTTTATATTTTTTTTTTAAAAAAAAACAAATTTTTTTATTTTTTATTTATTTATTAATTAAAATAAACCAATTAATTAAAAATAAATAAGTTTAATAATTATTAAAGTTAATATCTAAAATTATGTGATTTATGCTAAATGATAACTAGTAAGCAATACAAATTTACGTAAGATTTTAGACTTCACCATTATGAGTCAGATTAAATAAAGAGTTACCTTAAATTAGATATTCTAAATGTCCTAAACACCTGTTCAGACTTATTAAATAGCAAACTAATAAATTACATTTAATTAGTTATTATCAATAAAATAGATAGTTAATAAATATTATATATAGATTTTTTATATATTTTATATATTAAATAATAATAAAAGTATAATAAATTACAGTTAAACCTCTATGTATTAATACAGCTACTTTAAAAAAAAGTATCAGTACATCAAATTATTGGTATACTATAAAAATTTTGTATACTGATATTATTATATTTTGTTAATCAATATTGATATAAAAAATTGTAATCACTATAATTGGAGTGAGAAGTAAAATAAATGTACACTTCCTGGTAAAAAGTATCTGACCACCCTAAAAATTAATAAATCATAAAAAATTCAGTGGGCCCAACAATACTCCAACAATAAATTTATATTTATTTTAAAAGTTCGAGACATGAGACACTTTTTAAGTGTTTTTTTAGCTTAATTATTAGTAAAAATTGGCAGAAATTTTTAATTTTAAAAATGGCAAAATTCTTAACTTTTTAACTAGAGCCGTTACAGCCAAATGAATGCCAGAAATCAATTTTTTGACTAAAAAATAGCTTATGTTTAAAAAATCAGAAAGGTTGGACTGGTAGTTGTCAAAAAATCCACCACTGAAGATCATAATTTTTATATATAAAAATGATAAAATCACTATCTTTGCCAAATTTTAGTGATCTACAGTAGTGGAACTTCACCTATTATTAAGATATGTTACCGGTAGAAATTTCACTTTCATATAAAATCTTACCTTAGGATTTGTTTAAATTCTATTGGTTAATTAACTAAAAAGAAACTACCAGTCCAACCTTTCTGATTTTTTAAACATAAGCTATTTTTTAGTCAAAGAATTGATTTCTAAAATTCATTTAGCCATAACTGCTCTAGTTAAAAAGTTAAGAATTTTGCCATTTTTAAAATTAAAAATTTTTGCTAATTTTTACTAATAATTATGCTAAAAAAACACTTTTAAAAAGTGTCTCATGTCTCGAACTTTTAAAATAAATATAAATTTATTGTTGGGTCTACTAAATTTTTTATGGTTTTTTAATTTTTAGAGTGGTCAGATACTTTTTACTAAAGAGTGTAAATCTAGAACTCCAAATTTGACCTGACAGATTGGATGATCCGATGAGTTGACCTGAAAAATTCAGATCAGATAGCAAATTTAATAACCTGACCTCAGGTCAAATTAGTTAATAGTTACAGTCAGATATCCAATCTGACCTATTGACCTGACATATTTCAGTCAAAAATAAGACATTTTGGCATTTTATATATATAAAAAAATGTCAAACTGACCTGAATCTGATGTTTTTTTATTAAAAAACATATCTGCCGATCTGCGAAATTAACAAAATTTGTCTAAATTAAGGAATTATACAATAATTTAATAAAAATTAGTTTTGCAAAAATGATAACACTTGTACTACATGATCATATGACAGATATTAAGAAATTACTTCAACAAAAAGTTGCATTAAAAAAATTTTTTTTTTCGTAAACTTCATATTAAACTTCCCATCAATTTTTCTATCAACTTTTCAACCAGTTTTGACATCTAGTAAGTTAAGAATTTTTGCAAGTATATTAGTAATTATTTTACATTAGACATAACTTGGAACTGTTTTTTTATTTTATTTTTTTATAGTTTATAAAAAAAATTTATTTAGAAAGCAAAATTATTCAAAAAAATCTTTTAATAAAAAAATAATTCTAAATATTAATAACGATAATTTAGCAAAATTAAATTATGTATTAATTAGTTGTTTAATTATAATCTATTTGATATTTATTATTAATTATTTTTCAGTTAATTTTTTTTTGCTAAATCATTAAATATTCTGGATTTTTGTAAAGTTTTTCTTTTTTTTTTTTAATAAACTAACTTTATAATATTTTTTTCACTTTTTTTCTAGAAACTCCTTCTACTGGTTTCAGGTTAAAGAGGTAAATATTTTGGGAGAGATCTTAAAAGTTTTTTTTTATGTATATTTAACATTTTTTCTTACATAGAAATAGGCTTTGATTAATTTTAATTGGTACTGTGCCACATAATTGATGATTGGTAAATTTCACAAATCGGCAGATATGTAATAACAAAAATGTTTTTTTTCATTAAAAATGTTGGGTTTAATTAAAAAAACAAAAAAAAAAGTTTTTTTAGTTAAATCGTCAAATCTGATATTTTTTTATTAAAGAAACAAAAAAAAAATGATTTTTTATTAAAAAATGTTAGGTTTAGTATTTCTTAATTAAAAGAAACAAAAAAAATGTTTCTTTAATTAAAAAACATCAGGTTCAACGCTTCTTTATTAAAAGAAATAAAAAAATTGTTTCTTTAATTAAAAAATGTTGAACCTGACATTTTTTATTAAAAGAAACAAAAAAAAAATCGTTTCTTTAATTTAAAAATGTTGAACCTGACATTTTTTTTATTAAAAAAACAAAAAAAAAGTTTCTTTAATTTAAAAATATCAGGTCTGACATTTTGCATTAAAAGAAACAAAAAAAATGTTTTTTTCAAAAAAATCAATGGGTCAGGTCAGATACCTGACCTGACCTGATATAAAAAATATTTTGGCATAATAAAAAGTACCAAAACGTATTTTTCCATAAAATAATTATAAAAAAAAACGTTCAGCATTTTTTCTTATAATTTGATATATAAAAAATACTGAAATCCAAAATATATCAGATCAATAAGTCAGGTTAAGTATCTGAACTAACCTATGATATTTGGGTCAGGTCACCAAATTTATGACTTGCCTTAGGTCAAATCAAGTCAATTACCCAACCTAATTTGATTCATTCAGAGCTCTATGTAGATCTAATCATTTGATTCAAAACATTTGTTATTTTTTAAAAAAAATTTTTTGTCAATTTGATCTAGTATTCCACACAAATCAATTTGTAATACAGTATGATCCTAATTACTTCTGAAAGTAAAATTTTATTTTATGAATAACTTGATCTAGTAGCAGTTTGATTTAATAATCTATTTTTTTTTTTATCAGAATAATGAAAACTATCAATTAATAAAAATTATCAAAATTGGATCACTAGATCCTGAAATAATTATTTTTAGAAATTGAATTGAATCTGAATTAAGTTTGAATTGAATTGAATTTTAGAGGAAAAATTTAATTTATGTGAAATACTAATTTGATCCTTTTTTTCAGCACTCATCTCATATAATAAACATTTCAATTAAATGAAAATAAATTAATAGTATAACAAATAAATTTTATATATTTATTATTATCTAGAGCATAGCAAAAGACTATTTATTGTACAGAACTAGATAAATTTGCAGTACCGGTTTAACCCATGTATTTTTCCTTTCTTCCACCTACGTCACTATAATTTAACCCCTGCTTATTTTCTTTTATGTTTGTATCACATTTTTTGTAATGCTTTATTTTAGTAACATATTTTGTGTAACTATTTATATATATATGTAAACGTATTAAGCGACAGACCCTCAATGGTTTCTGTTTTCCTAGTTTTAACATATTAGTATAAATAATAATATATTATAAAAATAATGGGAATTGATCACCCTTGGCTCATTGGTTAGTCTGTGAATCCCCTCGTGAAGTCTGATTAAGATGAATCATAAAATCTGCATTAAATTTTACTGCGTACAAATATACCATATCGTTAAAGTGAAGTTATAGGATTAGTGTGGACTGCATCTATGGTGTATCAGTGTGTACAGTTAGGCTACACATTTTAACAGAAAGCTCCATTCTGAGACTGAAGCAATAGTAAGCCAATTATCCTATCTAAGTAATTACTGCTTGCATATTACTTGGATGGACTCATATTTTAGTGGTCATTCTATGATACCACTAATGATGTATTGAACTTTACTGTGAGAGTTCGCATATTAGATGGTGTCTATAGATAATAAAGTTTTAAGTGCAATGTCTTTATGATAGTTTACTTTCTAATAGGTTTAGGTTGACTATAATATTCATTGGCTTATAGATATATAAAGTTTTAAGGTGAGGTTCGATTTCTTAACGTATTTGGTATATTGGCTAGTGAACCCTGGATGGCTGAGGTAAGTCACTTATAATATAGAGGGATCCTATACCCTCAAAGCTTACTGTCCTAATAGTTATTATTACAGTCAACTCCTTTTATAATCACTTCCGTTATAATCATATTCTATTATATAGTTACACCAGTTGAATGTTCAAAATACTTTATTATCAAAATATATCTTATATAGTCACAATTTATCTATAGTCACTATCACACCTATCCTCAAAAATCTTATATTAAAAAGAACTGTTTATAATCACAATTATATAAAGAATATATTAAATAATTTTACATCTAATAATCATATAAAGATGTACTATAGCTCATTAAAATCGTCTCACTAAAATGAATCGAATGGTAGTATTTTTATTCTTTTACTGTGCAAACAGTTTTTGAACTTTATCTTTTATTAATATTTTAACTTCAAAA